TTATGATATTAAAGTATTAAATATAATAACATCTAACGATAAATATATTTCAAACACCTTCCAAACAAAATACCTTTAAAAAATAAATTCTGACCTATTTTTACCTTATGAGGGTACACTTTAAGTTTTGAGAGCATATTTTGATAGTTAATCGAAAATCAAGCATTTCGGTAAATACTTTTCGTGAATCTAGGTCAAAAATTGTTTAATTAAACTGTGAATTTATCATAAATACAATAGAGACTAATTTTTTTCTAAACGGTCAGTGGGTAGATTAGATTACAAAATAATAAAACACAATATCTATTTATGTTAGTTACCGCTAAAATACACATAAATATAAACACATTTATATATTAAAAATATACTAGTTATGTATCTAAAGCAACAGTAGTTAGTGTCTCGACATTTTATTTCAATATATTAAATTAAAACATTTTTTTTACACCTATTTATATAAATCAAAATCAGAAGTTATAATTTTTTTTAAAACACATTTTAACGCACAGGTTTTTATTCAAAATATATCCTAATCTTTCAAGAGCACGTGCTCTATATAAAAAATTATTGCTTAAACACTTTACACAGATAAGTAAGTGAACAAAAAAATATATTAATTAAAACCTATAAACATTTATTTGTTCAAAGTATGAGCACATTTTGTCTGTTTTTTTTTTTTTTTTGAATACCTTAATAATTAAATATATTAGAAGTATTAGTCGTGTTTTTTCCCTTATAGCCAAGGTAACTCGGATATCAACAAAAAAAATGCGATGTAGTGACATTTGTTGTCGGTTTTTTAAATTCTATGGAAAAACCGTTAGGAATCTATAGACATATTTTCGAAATGAAATACCATAAGGCGAAAAATCTTTGCGCACAGATATACATTTAATTACCCTATATGTCCTAAATTACCAACTTTTCGCCCATAACAGTGGTAAGTATGCGTATCAACACGTAATCGGACGTTTTGACGGCGGTTATTTCGGAATGAAGTCCATTTCGGTGTGAAATATAATTTTTTAAACCGTCAATGTTTTATTACCATTCATTCAACCTAATAAATAAACTATACAAATAATAAATATATAAGCTAATTTATCGTCGGCTCAATCCACAGATTCTCTATACATCTGTTCACCATATCCCATCACAATATTAATTTAAACGAGGGTCTATGATGATAACCGCGATATTTTCAACGTTTTTAAGAAGTATAAATAATATAGTGTACAAAAAACTCACGGGTACAATAAAATATTTATTCGATTTAATGCGATTTTACCTATTACAATAAATAAATAAATAATTACGTATTATTATTTTTTAGCCAATCATCATTATACATCAACGTTATTATCATTTCAATGTATCTATTAAAATAATTTAAAAAATATATTACAACTCAAAATTAATAATTAGTTACAAAATTGATTAACCTACCTCCTGTAAGCTTATGCAGCTTGTGTTGAAGTTATGATTAATACTAAATAATAATAGGACACAGACGCGATTACAGGGGGGGGGTTAGGGGTTAACCCCTTCCCGAAATTTCATGAAAACTATGATGAAAGTAGATTTTTAATAGAGTCTCAAAAGTGGTTTCTGTCAATAAGGAAGATAAATAAAATTTTGGTTTTATTTTTATTTTATTACTAGATAGTAGTTTTATAAAAATTGATATTATTGTCATTTTTAATATTTTGAGGTTTTCCTGCTTTTGAACAATTTTTATTACCTAAATGATACGGTGATATCACGTAGTCTGCATAATCATCACTAGATAACAATACAACTGTAAATGTCACTGAAAATAAAAGTTTAATTTTTTCCTAGATTTCTTCATTATAGGGAGTATTCAACAGTCACAATCCAGACATTGGTTTCTATTTAAATAACAATAAAATTGATGACGTTAAAAAGTATAAACTGTTAAAGCATCCATGGATTCCATCTAATAATTATGAGTTTCCTATTTCACAAAATCGACATCTAAAATTTCAAAACAGATTGGTTCAGGCGATATTCGTGGTTAGTTTATTTCAAATATGTAGAAGGTGCATTATGTAAAACGTGTGTATTGTATTCAAATGATTTTGTTGGTAGAGATTCGAACCAAAAATCAGGAGCTCTAATTAAAGTACATTTTACAAAGACGCAATAGAGCGTTTTAAACGACATATGTGTTAACTAATATAAGCTAAAATTCAATATTACAAATCGAACAAATTAAAAACTTAAAATCTGGATTACAAGAAAAAAATAGTATTTATTTTCTATAAAACAACGTTAACGATAAATAAATTAATAAAATAAATTATATACAATGTATACAATATATATATATATTATACATTTATTTTATGAATTGTATGTATGATAATGATAATATAATATCTGTTATTATTTCAAGTTATGTTAATGTATTTCTCTATATTTGTGTCTTTTTCGTTTGGTACCTATTGTTTACCTACATTATTTTATTAAAGTAAAATACCAGCAAATGGCAATAACGGTTAAATAGTATGTACGTAGAAAATTATAATTCGCGCTGAAATGTCCTACGCTACTATCAGCAGTGTCAGCTCTTTAAATATTACAGTTGCGGGAGTGATTGCTCTCTTGAACAAAACTGTACTTATATTATAGTTGTTAACCACGACTTATTTACGTGTTCACTTTTTTTTTTTTTTTTTTAAACGACTCGCGCGCCACCTATTGTAAAATCCAGAAACTTGGGGTAAATTATTTAGGTTGTTATTTACAGGGGGTAATGGCTATTAACCTTTTTTTCATACGTGTAGTAACTTTAGCTATCCTGACCCTGTGTACTGTCCGTGTATTGTAACGACCTAACCTAACCAACCAAAAATTAACAAAACAAAAATTATATTTATGTTGTTACATTATGTTTATGAGTTATGTTAGAGGCAATCCTAATCGAAGAAATATTGCGATAAAATATAGCTTATAATTTAGTGTATAGCTTTAAAAATTAACGTCTTTCATTTTTACCCTTTTTAACCACCTAAGGAGTTGAATTTTGGAAAATACTTTTTTAATAGGTCTCTACGTCATAAAACGATACTACCGACCAATCATCATACACTCATACAGCCTCAGCGGTTATACTTAGATGATGATGAATCAGTCAGTCAGTCAATCAGTCAGACCATGTTATTTTACAAATTAAGATGTCGCAATTTCAAAAATACGTATTTCAGATAAACTTTAACGCGACATTAAAATGTATTTGCCCAATACCAATTATTAGTTTCATAGTTTCATTCATATTTAACACGTGCATTCCAATAGCAATATCAAAATATATAATAAGTAACCGATTTAGCAATACAGCAGAATTTAATAGGAATTTATACCTTGCGAAAACATATGAGCAAATTTTTTAATTGAAAATCGTAATTTTTTTTTCTTTTGTAAATAAGTATAAATTAGTACATTTACGGTACTAGTATTATTAGTTTACTACAATCAATTACAATATAAACTGCCGATTCAGCGTCGTTTTAAAATTCAATTTTATATCAATATTAAACCCGAAATTTTTTTTACTAATTTTTTAATTTTTTATACCAAAACATTTTTTTTTTTTTATTAACAAAAACGCCGAACACAAATTTTTATTAACTTTTCTGATTTTTGATTTTACCACAAGCGGTATCGTCTAACATACTATAAACATCGTTTTCACAACCATATTCTACGATGCCGTTATAGTAAGTGAAACTATAATAAAATACTCGTTTCCATATACCATATTAATTTTCGATTCTGAGCGAAGCAAAGAATAATGGTTTTACCATGAGTTGTGATTTTACTATGACATGTGATTTTTTTTAAAAAAAATATTATCATATTATATATCAAACTTTATCTATTTAATGCTTTGAGAAAATCATCTTTTGATTTCCCTTATACTTTTCTTATTAATGAAAAACCCGAAATAAATGTAGGAAATGTTGGTTTCTGTTATTATCAATTTTGTTTTTAATTTTGAAATTGTATAAAAAAATAATCGTACTGAATAAAAATAAATCTTTATTTTGAGTTTTTATTTTGGTTTTTTTGTGGACGAGATTAAAGAAGGTAAAAATGTTAGAAAATGTAATACTGCAAGATCCATCATAAGTTGAAATGGAAACAGTGATTGTAAAAACTATACACGCTTCTTCTACCCCATCTACTTAATATAATGCTTATTGATGTTCTCCTTCCGTTATTATTAGTACTTACTTTCTACGAATTTGAATGACAAACGCCATATTTTTGCTATAATAGTTTCAGACAAATTTACGAAAAACTGTGGGGTTATATGGAGATACGTTTTTCCAGTCCCCCTCCCCCAGGTTTTTCACGCATTCCTTTTATTTGTTGGTTTATATATGAATAAAAATTATGTAATTTATTTTTATCAACGTTTTACGACAAATCGCGATTTATTTTATTAGCTAAAAATAATTAATCCAATGTTCAATTTAAATCTATTAAAAAATATTTGCCCTAACTCCGCTTAGAATCGTTTTTCGTTTGAAATTAATGATAGTTACATACAGCGCATAAACCAGATTAACCTATGTATCCTACCTTTTTGACTTCCTACCTATTTTATTATCCTTTTCATATTCTTTGTCTATATCATGTATCCGTTGGGACGTCGGCTGTATGCATAATATAGGTTCTGTCGGCCCATTGATATTTCGGACACTTATACTGTCGGTAATCAATGGTCCGATGTCCTGATCCCGTGTGATAATACTATTTAAACAATTATCACGTTCTGTCGGAAATTAAATTGTCGTCACTTCTAACTTATAAGTGTTTGCACGGCTTTTCAGCTGCCCGGATAGATTGATTTTTTTTCCCGATCTATCAAAGCGCTTAAGTGCATGTTGCGATTAGATTGCTATTACATTGTGTATATAAATGAATGAAAAATGCATTATCATACATATATATTATTGTACCTACTGGTTCGCGTCAGATTTTACGGAACTCGCGGAGTTTACTGACCTTCGGAAGTGGGAAATAAGACGTCGACAGCGTTTAACACCGAGTACATAGCGGTACATTAGGTACACAAACATGTATTGGACAACATTAACCGTATTGGTTACCTTTTCGTGTCTTCATCTGACGGTTCTATGTTCGGCCGACGAACACAACATAAAGACGTACAGCGCAGGTGAGAAACAAATATATCTTTGAATTTAACGTAAGAACAATAATTAAGTATAGTAAGTAGGTTTAGGTGTGTAAATGTGTTATACACGCCGATAGTGTAAACATTATGATTTCGAGAGGACGTTATAGCCGCATCTACTGTCTCAGTCCAACTACCGGGTTAACGTACAAAAATCACGCTTACGCAGAATAAACAAAACTAACTTAATTTTGATTATTTTAGAGTAAAAGTGCCTACAATGAAATGTATAGAGAACAATATTTTAAAGGGAATTTCATAGGGTTTTTGTATTATTCAAAATATACAGCTCGATATAAAATATAGAAAAACCTTTATTATTATTATTATTTTTTTTTAAATAACTATAACTTTTTTAATAGGTCATAATTCAAAAATCGCCTAAGACGTTTCCTCCAAAATATTGTTCTCTATAAATTTCATAATAGCTACTTTTACTCTAAAATCGAAATTAAGATAGTTTTACTTATTCTGCGTAAGCATTTGGTTTTGCATGTTACCCGGTAGTTGAACTGAGACAGTTTATGGGGCTATAACGTTATCTTAATATTATATGCTCGTGGACTAGAAATCAAAACGATTTTGTAAATTACGGTATTGTGTAACCGATAAAACTATAATACTGGTAAAAACGTTATTAAAAACTGTTTTCGAATCTTGTCATTCATTGCGGAAGTATAAATAGTAGCATGTGGCGTGACTAGTGACGCAACTACACTGATTTGAGCTCGTGTAAATAAAATGAATGCCCCCCCCCCTCTTGAAAATAGAAAAATTGTAATATTATTTGTTCAAATGTATTTACTTAATATAAATAAATTGTTTGTACTTAATATGAATTGTAACTAAACAATTTTAAAAAAATATTAAAAATTAACTAGTTTTAAAATTGATTTGTCTAAATTTTAAAATATATTTTGGAATTTAAAATTTTTACTCGTAAAAAATAAGGTTAAATTAGTTAAAACATATTGAACACATATTATGTATTTAAAAATAAATAAACGTAATAATTTGCAGCCTTTTTTATCAGTTTTAAATATAAATATTTATCAAATAAAAAACGAAAATGAACACCTAAAAACAATAAAACCTATGGAATAGATGAGATCCCAGTTGAATTTCTGGAATACACAGTAGTAGATATTCAAAATAAACTATACAAATTATTTAATGAAACATATCTAAAAGAAGAAACTATTAGTGATTTTTGAAAAGGGTATTTTGGTATTAATTCCAAAAAAAAAAAAAAAAGAAGGAAACACAAAAATGTGAAGAATACAGAACATTTAACTTCACCTCACATACCTCAAAAATCATCAAAGAACAGGATAGATAAAACGATAAATGAAAATCTGGGTAGGGACCGATTTTGATTCAGGAAAAGAATAGGTACCAGGAAGTCAATAATAACTCTGAGAATACTTATAGAAAAACAAACTAGAAGGAATAAAGACGCATGCACTGTTGTTCTAGAGAAGACCTTTGATAATTTGCATTGGAGTGAATTATTCGATATCTTAGAAGCGATTGGTATTAGGTATAATATGATAGTAAATGTATTCATAACTTACACAAAAATTAAACTGTACCGATACGCATAGGCGAAAAAGAAGAAGAAGCACAAATTGAATAGGGTTTGCGTTTGGTGGCGTTTATCAATTTGTTCAATCTTCATTAATAATTACTATAACAAAATTATTTTATTTTATTTCTACATATTTTACATTTGTTTTTATCATTGGTCCCCGTTGTAATCTGGGCCCTGGGCCCGTGTGTTTAATACACGCAACACATCCGATTATTAAGGCACTGGGCATATGACATTCGTATGTTATGAATTCAGTTTTTTATGCGCGAGAAAATAATAATAAACGTTTAAAAACATTCCGTGAAACGTGAGCAGATTTTGTACGATTTCTTTACAAAACATTGTTTTAAACAACTTTAAAACATGACATAGTGGACATTTGTGTTGGACTTTTCTTCTTGATTAGAAGTTTTAATTAGTCAAGGATTTTATTGTACCAATTTCCGAAGGTTATAAGTGGGTTTCTATTACACAATATAAAAAAAATCTTTTACATCCGCATTGTTTTTTCTATAAATTCGTTGATTTTTCTTCCGGCGAACCACTTTTCCAACCGAAACCTTTCGACCGTCAATAACTGTAATATACCTTCTAAACGAAAATGTTGTCCCGTTGGTACAATGGGTGGCTTATTTTTTGATTTTTTTTTTTCATTGCCGTTTGTTTTAATAATTGGGAAAAAAAAACTACGGAGAAAATCTACCCTTTAACGGTTTCCGATATCGGTTTCGATATAATTTATTAAAAATAATCTCAGACACCTGGGATATTCAAATTAGATTTTTATAGTATAGAACGTTTTCAAAAAATTCGGACATTGCGTGATTTATTTATTGAAATTAATCATTTTTGACAATTGAAATTGTCGAAGTTGAGTTTTTGTATCTGATTAATACAATAATTTATATATCTACACGCAACGATTTCACATTGTAACTAGGCTGAAATATATGCATTTTGATAATAGATTACTAGTTGTTTTTTTTTTTTTTTTTGTATTTTGAAATCAATGGGACGGGGGTTGGTATAACCCCTAACCTCCTATCTTGCGCACGCCACTGTAACGTAACAGGGATAACGCATTATTCGACAATGATATGAAAACGACGCGTGACCATAAAATAAATAAATAGGGGCGATAAATTAAAAATCATTTTAAAATAAATATTAAACGATTCCATAACGAATGGAAAAAACGAAAATCCAATGCGCTCGAAATCCTCCGAGATAATTGCTGGTTCGTGATAAAAAAAAAAAAAAAAAAGAAAAGAATCCGCCCTGCATACTCGTCAGTAAGACGTATTACAATTTGTTCGCGCGTCTTCTCCTCTGCTCTCGGGCCTCGGACCGTATTGTCATAAAATACAAAAAATATTAATAATTATTATTAAAATAATTCGAACTCGAATGGAATATCGGTACAATATTGTCGCGCATCACGTATTGTTTTTAAACAAATATTTGTGTGAACGCCGTTTTTAGATTACTACGACGCGAAAGACTGCCGGCTGTCGGTGGCCGACAACGCGGTCGCGTTAAAAATGCCCGTGCCCTTCCGGAGAGACGACCTGCACCGGCACTCGATCATCTATCCGGACAGCGACGGCCGGCTGCGCGTCAAGTTCTTGCACGGATTTAAAATGTCGTGCACCACCGCCGGCAAGTTCGCGTCGGCCGACTTGAGCAACGTCACCGAAGTGCTGGTGGTGTGCGCGGGCGACAACTCGCTCTGGTACCTCGGTCGCGAGTACGCGTACGCGGATTTCGTGTGCAACCGTGAGCCGAGGTCGGAGCTGACGGTGACCGACGAGACTTGCCAGGGCGACGGCGTCGTGGTCGCCGTGGGGTTCCAGACGGAATCCGCTTACCTGGGCGCGTACCGGGTGTGCTTCGACAAGGCGACGAAAAACAGCCTGTACTCGTGGTACGACTCCAGGTCGCCGTACTACGACCAACACCAGTCGATGAAGAAACGGCCGTCGTTCGTCGCCTCCAGACAGCTGTACGGCAATACGAACGTGAACAAATTGTACACCGTCGCCCAACAAGTGAGTGCCTATCTCATCAGTCGGTTAAGAATTTAATACCTTACACCTAGGTACTCAATAGACGTGTGTGCATACGCAGTTTGAAAAAAAAAACTAATATTTTAAAAATTAACATATTTAATATTGGCTTTAAAGCGGCGGTGGATCCGCGGGGGCAGAGGCGGGACCTCAACGAAAAAAATATTTGATTTCTACAAACAATTAATTGTTTAACGAGGATTTCCGAAGAAGAAAAGCGGAGAGAAGCGATGAATTTATCGATTGTACTATGAAATGGATTTTTCCTTTTTTTTTTCTTTTTGTCAACAAATTTTCAACCAAAAATCCTACTTCAAACAAAAAAAAAAACAGTTAACAATGGTTTATCGGTATTTACAGATATAAATTGAGTAACCTTATATGTCCTGTACCTTCTCAACTTCCCACCTATAACAATCCCCCATCCCAAAATTCAACTCTGGGTCCGTCAATGCTTTAGCGAGAATGCCGGAAACATTATATCATTGAAAATTAAAAACAATAAAACGTGCCCAACTTTTTCCAATATTAAACCGTTTAACGATTTCATTTCACACACGTATACTTTTCCATTTTTTACACTTGAAATATCAAATTTACGTTGTCAACGTAAACGTTTTATTTTAATCCACGCATTTAAAAACACGTAAAAATAACAAACCATTAGCAATAAATATATTAAAATTAAAATAACATAAGGATTTTATACTTTCGCCAATTGATAAAAATTGACTAAAAGGAATAATAAAAAAAAAAACCATTAAAATATATCAAAAACTAAATTAAGTATGCTAATACGCGAATTTCTTAAATATTTTTAAAATGTAATACTGTGTGCCTACATTAATACGGTACAAATCAAATTCGATACTTATTATAAACTCGTATGATATTATAATATGCGAGTTTACTTTGATCTTTTATTATATTGCTTAACAGATTACCGATTTATATTACAGAGAAAAACAGTGGCAAAAATCCTGAGATCGGATTCTCTAGCGAATATGTACATAAAAAACGACAACAATCACTCTTTGTCCAGAGGCCATTACACACCTAAAGCTGACTTTTATTTCGGTTTTGAACAATCGGCAACGTAAGTGTCCGTTGAATAAATTTCATTGAGGTGATTGAAACAACGCTATTCCCAACAGCGGCGTCCAAACAATATTTTCACGGCGTAGCAGAATTTTAAATTTAAAACCACTTCACACCTCAAAAGCGTTTACCCATATAGGTATTTTTCAACCCCTACAACCTACTACCTTGAAAGTTTATACCCAAATCTCAATTAGCCTTCCTCTGACGGATGTGACGTATAAAATATATGTTCGTAGTAGGTACTATAAAAATAATTAAAACAACTTTTTTTTTTTTTTATTTAAAAAATTAGTTTGATTTGTGTTAATAATTTTTTTTAGTATTAAAATGGTATATTTATACCTATTTAATTACTAATTAGTAAAGCCGTTACAGGGCAGAATTTTTCAGCCCCGCTGCTGTTGTATTATCGTCAATATATATATATATATATATAAATTTTTTAGAGCTATTTAAGGACCTTTTTGACTTTGCAAGCGCTTTTTTTATTGGTTTTAATTGCATTCAAATCGGTTGCCTGATAATTATTATCACTTATTTATTTTAATATTATAATTATAACCTTATTTTAAAATACGCAAAATTTACTTTGATAGTAATACCCATGTATAAAGACGAGCAGTTCGGGGTAGACCAGGCCCGGCTCATGGGATTGGCGACATAGGCCCGCGCCTAGAGCGTAATTTGTTCAGGGGTGGCGTTGAAAATTGTCAACGTGGTTTTTACACGCGTAAGGGGCGGCAAAACTTAAGTTTGCTCGGGTGCATTTAATCGATTTAAAAGCGCGATTGTACTATTATTGCAATTCTATAACGCGTGTATTTATAGGTTTTACTACGCGAACGTGGCGCCGCAGTGGCAGAGTTTCAACGGGTACGCGTGGAACCACCTGGAAATGTGGACCAGGTACCGGATGGACAACAGCACCGGCAGGCGGGTGATCGTGACCGGCACGTACGGGTCGTGCACGCTGCCCGACGTGGACGGCGTCGAACAACCGCTGTTCCTGGACCCGCCCACCGACATACCCGTGCCGCTGTTCTATTGGAAGTTGTACTACGACGCGGACGCGGAGGACGGCATGGTGTACGTGGGCCTGAACAACCCGTACATGAAAATCGACGAGAGCGCGTACATATGTCCGAACCTGTGTCCGGACGGCTACCGCGGCAACGGCGACACGAGCTACGTCGCAGCCGCCGGGAAAAACGACGAGAACGACGGGTTGATTTATTGCTGCAGCAAAGAATCGTTCGAGGAGGTGTACGGCCGGTTGGATCCGATCGTGTTCCGTTCCGTCTGACGAGTGCGCCGAGAACTATATAATATAGTCACTGTAGGTCTAGCCGTATTATTATCGCCGTTATTATTATTCCGCCGGTCCGTCCGATCGGATATTGCGCAGCGCCTACGCTCGAAAACTCGGCTGTACGGCTCTGTAATACGCGACGACGCAATCGCCCGGGACGCGATCGGTTTGCGACACGACTTTTTCAACCGGTCGCTCCGGACACCTGTGTACGGCTGCGTTCCCGTCGAAAAACCATTGTAAACAAGTCCGGATTACGTCTCGGATTCGGGCAGGGCAACTGAAAATCACCGGAAACCGGCGGCGAGTATTATTGGCTACTTACCTATATTTGAATCCCAAGGATTCGTGTAATACGAAATTTATTACGATGTTATTTGGTAACCTGTCGTTTTACCGAAAACCGTTTTGAGAGAATCGGAACGCGACGGATAATATCGGATTTCGTATTTTCGTATAAATTATTCAATTACCGGATATGTACACGGAGATGTTACGGAATTGTTATCAACGATTAACATAAATGTATAAAAATTAACCTGCACAATACCGATTTCGTTTTACACTTTTGCCCTCCGTCCCGATATTCCGCTAGAATCCATCGCCATAGCGATCCCGGTCTATCATTGCGTTCCCGAAGCGTGCTGTTCCGTCAACCCCGTTCGTGTGTCCACGTGGTTGGAACCCGGATTGACCTTTTTGACACAGCCCGATTGAGCACGCCAACGTTACCGAGGTCTTCTTCCGGGGCGCTTGCCTCCTATTGGTTTATTAACCAGAACACTACGAAGCATGTTCCGCTCAGATGGCCACACAAGACGACCTTCGGAAAGCACTCATCGGACAGTTTATTGAACAGAGATTCCGAGTTTTTTTTCTCCTTTCGTATTAAGTTCATTCTCGCAGGACCTATAAATTTCCGAACAAGTTTTTTCACATCTCGTTGAGTTGTCGACCACGTTTCGCGTCATAACTACGTACGATCAAACTTCTGGGGCCGTATCCTTTAAAAGGACGACCAAACCGATACACACCTTTAACTTATCACTTGTATACGAATAACTCATTAGTTAATTTTTCGCTACCTTTGCTCGTCTTTATTCATTACGATACGCGTTGACGTATTTTTGAATGATATATGAACAATATATAATATATAAGAATCAATTTAATATTCGCATACGCACAAATTAATAAATACACGGTAAGTAATTCAGCGCTAACTTGCAACTTATCCATTCAATTTTATATTTATGATAATTTCAGTCATAAATGGCAGATTGATGTTGATATACACAAACTTTGAAAAAGCTTTTGATTGCATGATCATAATCGTATAATAAGCATATGATATATGATAGGGGACGAGGGGGCGTAGTCCCCTAAAATTATCTGATACTTTTTTTTATAAAATACGTAGATATTTTATATAATAAACCGGCATTAATATCGTATATATTTTAAAAAAGGCCGTAATTTTTTAAACTTAACACATAAAAAAAAAGAATTACTACATTATGCTATACCATAATAATATACAGTACAACTTATGATGAACCTAGTGTTAAATTTTAAAATATTTCTGCTCGGCTAAAAGAAATTTATCCACATAAATACTTCAAAAAAACGGGATAATTTTAAATACTTTTAAATTATAAAATTTGACTACGTAATATAGAAAAGGCTAATATATGTATTTTATTTTTTGAAAATACACGCCCGGGGCAATTAAGTACAGTGAATTTGTACAATGTTTATATATGCTATTTAACAATATAACTATATATATATAATGTAGGTAAGTGAGCTAAGTATATAAAAGAAGAGAAAAAAAAATACATATTTAAAAAGATAATGTACTAATTTGTATCGCACTTAGAGAAGAATGAAAAATATCGAAATTTTTTTGTAGATTATTACAGGAAACAAGTGCTCGGTTAATGGGGAAAAAAAAACCGTAAAGTGTTTTGTGCTTAGTGATGTAAAAAGTTTCTAGAATTAAATGCAAGGACTGATATATTTAATAGACCAAAAAGAAAGCTGTCATTTAAAGAGCCATGCAGGATTTTGTAAATAAAAATGACAATAAATATAAACGTCTGGAGCTCAAAGAGTTGATATTAACTAATCTCTTAAAAGGTTCGTAATGAAGGTTATGCGATTAGTAGGTATTTTAAAATTAATATATCTTAGAAATTTATTCTGAACTCTTTCAATTTTATTTATCCAAACGAGTTGATAAGGATTCTAAACGATGGAACCATACTCAAGTATCAAACGAACTAGAGAGAAGTATAGTTTTCAGAGATAATATGTTGTTAAAGTCACCAGTGTTTCTAATAATAAAGCCAAGCGACCATGTAGCTTTTACTATTATTGATTGGATGTGCATTGAAAATGAAAGTGAACTTGAAAAGACAATACCAAGGTCCTTAATCAAGTCAACTTTAGGTAGCATAATGTTACCAGAGAAGTAGTCAAAGTTTAGAGAAGATTTATTTAGATAAAAAGAAATGGAATAAAATTTGATAATGTTGATTTATAGATCATTATTGGAACATCAATTTCTAAAATAATTAAAGTCCTCTTGCAATTTTGAGCTATCATCTAAGGAATTAATATTATAATATAATTTTAAGTCGTCTGCATACATGTTAAATTGTACATGCTTAAAGATTAATCCAGCATCATTAATATACAAAATAAACAGCAAAGCGAAAATATGACGTCCCTGAGGAACACCTGAGAGGACAAAGATATTATTCAAAATATATCCATTAAGGCTTATTTTTTGAGACCTAAATGAAATATATGAACTGAACCATTTCAAAATATTATTATAAACACCCATCAATTCTAGTTTACGGATCAGAATGGCATGGTTAATACTATCAAATTTTGTGAAATTTTCAGATCTACACAGTTATCTTTAACCAAATGACAACAAAACAACAAAATTGAAAAGTAATAAACAGTTCTTACTGTTGTGACTTTACACGCGAAGGACAGTCTATAACACTGTTCATTTTCTCAGTTTTTCCTAATTATTAAGAAAACTACAAAGAAAATCAAAAAAATACACCCATGGGAACCAACTAAATAAAATTTGCTTACAGAAAAGATCCTATATTTAAAAATCCGCGAAAACATTTTTGATATAATAGTTGTTTGGAAACAGAAAAAAAAATTAATGACTAATCTTATTATAAATTTTAAGCGCATTATTCTATTGAGGATAATTATGGCACCATTCAATTGGAAATTAAGGGAAATTTTATTAATCATTCATTTATAAAGTTTTAATTAAAAGTACACTCCCTAACTTGTAAATAACTTAAATAGCTATTTCAGACATATTTTTACCTATTAACTCAGCTACTTGCAAAAGTATTTTGGTTGGCCATGCATAGGATATTATTTTTTTACATTATATATATATTTTTAATTCTTTATTTTATTTTCTACATAAATCACTATGTCAAAGGACATACGAACTTTGATAATAAATAAATGCCAACTAAGATGGTACCAGAAATGGACATCATACCACACTAAACTTAACCAAATCAAACATAATATAGACAATTGGATGTTTCCCTCAGAAATACCAAGAAAATTTGAAGTTATACTAACAAGACTTAGAATCGGACACACTCAAATCTCTCACAGTTTTCTAATGGCCAAGGAAGAACCACCAATATGCACAGCCTGTGGCGTTCATGTCACCATCAAACACATTCTCACTGAATGTCGAATATACCAAAACACGAGAACATTTTTCAACCTCACTGATTCAATAGCGGAAATACTACAAAATAACCATCAGTCAATATCCAACATCATCGAATTCATCACAGCGGCCAAACCCCAAACCAAGATTTATAAACCTATAATAAACTAGATTAATTAGAATAAGTACACAGTAATATGTCATTATCATATACAATAATTGTAAACTAACGGCCCAATGGCCTATGCTGCCGAGGGCCTATTTATTAATAAAAAAAAAATTCTTTATTTTATATAAATATATATATAAGATATATATATATCACTTAATATTAACTTACTTATACCTATTTTGTTTTTTTAAATACATATTTTAAATTTGAGCCCGTATTAATCACTAATATTGAAATAGTTCTTATTTTTAGCAGAGAAGCTTTTATTTTGATGTTCAATTTGTTTTTATTAATATAAAAATAAATTATAATCAAGTCTTTGTTTGCATTAAAAAAATAATATAAAAAAAATTTATAAAAACTGATTCAATATTGTTGAATTTTCTCTAAAACTATAATTTTTTTTTGGTTATCTGAAACTGATTGACAATAATTTAACAATACCTCTTCTAATATTGCATATTTGATCTGATAAACATTCATCAGTACATTCACCATTAATTTCTTCATATTCTACAATAGCATCATCCAGTCGCATAGTCACAAGTGCTACTTCACTGGTTTTAAAATAACACTCATTTGTATCATCAATAAACATAAGTACATCCAACAATAGTCTGAGCCTAAAACTGAACACCAAAATATTAATGTAACCAGAGTTATGTTACTCAAAAGCAAAGAATATCAATTATCATTAATGTTTAATAAATGCTATGATGTATATTATAAATATTTACTATTTTGGACAAATATTGGATCTCAAAAGATCTATGTACAATGATGAGGCTTCACTGAGTTTTGATTGTTTTACAAGTTTCATAAATTCCAAATACTTTCCTAAAATTTTAAATTCATTATTAAACAATATTGGTTTAAGTTATAACAAATTGATTTTAGTAAACAGATATTTGTGTTAAAAAACATAATTAAATAGTTATATTAAATAGTAATCAATTTAGTGATGATTTTTTTCATGTTATTTTAAACGAATTGACTAAACTTACCTATAAACATAAAACGATCACAAGTGAGAACAATTGATCCTAAATTTTCCAATATATCTGGGCAACTAAATTGCCCACTGCTTACAAACTCTTTTAAAAAAATATCTCCAAGACGAGTAGCGAAAGCGCTGTCCTGCCCTCTTATTGCCCAAAATAAAGCTTCGCCTAATCTTGACTTCTGTAAACTCAACATTCCTTTGACTTTGCAAATACTAGAAACTTAAAATTAAAAAAAAAATGATTTTCATTTAATTGTTTCGCTTTTAATTATAATCATTGTTCTGTAAAGAATTATTTTTTTAATTACTCACCAACGTTATGTAAACGCCTGGATGTAGCATAATGTAAAATTTTTGTTGTCCTCAAATGTGATGTTATACCTAATTTAGACAACAATACTGATAGGTACTCCTTACCTACATCCGAACAGTTGTCCAAGTATGTGATCCCGGCTTGCCACAGTGAGTGATGAGTCATGAGAAATGTGCCATAATCAAGGAGGTATTGTTCATTTGGATTTGAATTTTTCCTAAAATAATGCAATGTTCAAAATATATTACATAAACAAGATGTATATCAAGTTACGTTGCATCAGATATTCCAAACTCTGGTTCTATTTTATCACACAGATGTAACAAATTGGTCAAATGAGTAGATGACCATCCAGAATCAGGATAGGATTTCAATTTCTTAACAAACTGTAATCAAATAAAAATAAAATCAGTATGAGTTTTACCATTTAAATAATACATTCATGTTAATAAATTAGTTTCTCTTCAATAGGACTTTCAATTTTCCATAACATCACATAAATATAATAGAACTATTACTATAGGTAAAATTCATTAAGTTTATATTTGTTAAACGTCATTTTTAAAACTAATATTTTTATTTAAATTCATAATACCGCTTCTAAATCTCCATCAAATAAGTCTAAAGCCAGTGTATCCATATGGTTATACTCAGATTCTTTATAATAATTTGTAACACTACGATGCGCATATAAACTTAAATTATGCTTCTTTACAGTTGGATCTGTGTATATAAGTTGAGCAACTAGATATTCAAACCATGTTGAACAATGTTTACGGATCAAATTGGTACAATCTGGTTCACCGCAAATAATCTAAAATGGGATTTTAACATATTTTAATTCATACAATAGATACATTCTTTTATATAATATTTATTAAGTAAAAATAGTTGAATACTTTCATAAGATCCTGGAGATTTGGATCGTTTAAAAATATTCCACATTCTAATTTATTTTTTGCATTAGATTGCCAGCCTTTAAATCTTGATGTATACTCAGCTATTGGTAGACCACCATAAATCTAAATTAATATTAATTTTTGAATTGAATCAAACTCTATTAACTAATAGGAAACCATTAGAAACAAAGTTATTTAATTTGCACAGTTAAGCCAAATAGTGGCTAGTATCATGAACTATATTAGATTATTTATTCAAATTTCAAGTAAACTTGAACCTAAACAGCCATGTTTGTAAGTATATTTTTGGTTACAAGCAGTGAATGTTGTGTTTTCAGTATTATGTATTGTTGTTTATTGCCAGTGATGCCCAAAGTTGTGTATCTGTTCTTGAAGAAAGTAAACACATTGAACATTGCACTATTATTCATTTATTTAATAGCTAAACAAGTTTGGCTTTGTGAAATTTATCACAGTGCGCACTAATAGACATAATAGATCAAAAAAAAATTTAAATTATGCTCATATGCAAACAAAGTGTAATTTATAGTATTCTGGGAAATAAAAGTTACGATTCTCTGTCATTTTCTTAAAGACAGATTATGTACTGTGATCTCAGAATCATACGCAAATAAAAGACTAATTTCGGCTAACAATTAGGCAGAAACAACATGTAATCCTGAAAAATGAGACGATTCTTCAGTAAAATAATGCCAACCCCCACAAAGCTAGAATTTATTATGAGAAATTGGTAAGGAGGTCCTACTATACACTCCCTACAGTCCAGACTTAGTACCTTCTTCTGATTTTCATTTGTTTAGGCCACTTAAAAATTGTTATGAGTACATCAAAGAACAGGTAAATGAACGAGACCAAAATAATCTGAAGCCTCATCGACCAGAGGAATAAATGTATTTGTGTATAGCGTGATTAGGCCGAAAAAGTAAAAAAAAATCATGTAGGTATATTTATTAAAGATTTTATAGCAATTTATACACATTTATCTGTTTACTTATTGAATGTCACTCGTACAAAAAGATTCATTTATTATGAGCCAACAATTTAAAATTAATTTTATTCCTGTTATTTTCGTTAATTGTGGAATTGTTTTAACTTTATTTCAAACGGTAGTATTGAAAATTATCTATTCCTACTTTTTAAATCAAAAATTAATGTATACTATTAATTTTAAAAAAATAACCCTCCTATAACACATATTCGAATAAAGAAAATTTTTTCTAAATCCAGGCTTTTACAAATAATTTTTACTGTATTCCAAAAAAATAATAATAATAACAATAATCCTTATTGAGTCCCATTTTCTCAACATTTTTCTACCATTATATTACAAAAAAGTGTTTATCATGAAAATACAAATATTTAGTAAACACTCAGAATTTAAAATGTATACAGCATGTGCAAACAAATTTAATTTAATTTAAATAAGCAAAACAATTTATTAGTCTTAAACTTAAAACTTACACTATAAGTAGGCATAGACTTAAATATTTTCATTGCTTGAATAAATGGTTCAGTTTTACTTTGAGAGTGATTAAACAACAAAGCTCTGACCAAATCTGTATTTCCTTGTAACACTAATCCAAAAATAGTGTCCCAATAAAATGGAAACTTATCTTCAACACATTCATCAGTAAAGTAAGCAGTTTTATCATCTATAATCATTGATGCTTGGTTTTCAGCTTTCTCATAATGAATCTTGATCCAATCTAAAAGATTGTTTAAAATAGTATCGCCTAAAAAATATAAAAATTAATTAATTATACAGTATACACATTCTATTAAGTTATATAATTATGACAAACAAAAATTACCTATACTACATAATATCCCTCATAATATAAACATATGTATGTCCAAATAATAATTTAATGATAATTTTAATGGTCAAGTACTATATTTTTAAGTTTATTTTTTTGTAATTTCTCCTTTAAAAACATATATTTACAGAAACCTACACACTAAATTCATTACAATTAACATTTGTATTTAAACTATAATCTTCTATATTTAAAATATTAATTTTGACCCCAAATAGTTGAGATCAAAGCAGAGGAAACCAAGAATTTGTATGTATACCAATACATTTTTTATTCAAACCAAGACTGTAATAAAAATATTTAAAAATTAAATAATTTAAACACTTGAATTAAAAATAATTAGAATTAATGGATTCCTATATGCGCTTAGAAAATAGAAGGCATATTATTTATTATGTTTCACCAATTAATTGTCTAATAATAGTTATATTAACTTAAAGAATAATATCTATTACAAATCTGCCATTTTGAAAAATTCCAAAAGAAAATTAATTCTTTTCTAGTGATTAAGGGTTAATAATACAAATATTAATATATTCTATACATAAATAGTTATATATAATATAATACAAATCTATAAATATATATACCCCGCCCTAAAAGAAAATTGAATATTAACAAAGATATACAAATTCGTAAAACACGGTCGTCTCATCTTTTGTATGTTCAAAAATGTTTAAAAAAAAAAAAAAAAAAAAATCCAAAACCTATAAAAACAATCCATGAATGAGAATTCATGGACCAATAGGCAATAATTTCAAAATTATCAAAATAAATTTATTAACAAAAAATTAAGTGACTTAATTTTTAGTAAATAAGTAACAGATATTTCTACTTATGAAATACTAATACTTATACTAATAGGTAACATTAAATTAGACAATTATTTAAATATTATAATACCACTTACCAGGAACAGTAACCAGGTAAAGTACTTCACACAAATGCCAAATAAGTTCTAAATTCCGCAACAACAATTCATATTGGTTATAAATCTCATCCAATTTATCCTTATTGTGTCGTTCAATTGCTATTATACAAGTTGACAAAATTGCTCTATATAGATAATACATTAAAAAAAAATCACTTAAATAATAATTTATGCAAAATAGTACAACGTAAGTACTGTCATAAAATGTTAGTTTGGTATGGATCTGTGTAACCTGGTTTATAAATATTGCTATGGTATTAGTTAGCTATGTTATTTAATAGGATAAAAAGGACACCTACTATCCCACATTTCTTCCCACATAATATCCATGTTACGTAATTTCTTTTTCATTCCAAAAGTTAAAAAATCTACTTACTCTTTAACTTTTCAATTTTTAATAAATACAATGCATAATAAATATCAAATTAATTTTTTTGTTGCAACTCTTTTGTTGAAAAAATAAATATTATTATTATTATTATTTAGAAAATATGATCACAAAATTGTCCATAAACAGGAAAAAAAATAGATAGGTATACTTGATAGTTAAATCTACTATAACATAAAATCTGGAAGACCATAAATCCATTTAATTACATATTTACATTACTTATTTTTATCAGTTTAATATATTATTTAGATTTTGATATTTTGACTTGAAAAATGATTACATTAATACCTACCTAGAGATTAAAACTAACAGCTTACTAAATGAAAATTCAAAAGTAGAATTTTAGTTGTGGAAAGAGTTGAAGGAAAAGAAGAAGAAAAGAATTGTATAAAATTACCTATATTTCCTACTGTAGTATAAAGCATCTGTTGACTTATTCTGGTCTTCCACATTTATTTGTAATTCTTGGAACAAGCTACTGGACTCATTAACCAGTTGTCTTACTTTTGGGTCAAATAACATACTTTTATGTTTCAAAAGTATAATGTTCCGCTCAGTATTATCAACATTTTTGACCGAAGTCTTGGAAGTGGTTTTTCTTGAAATTTTGGTCGGAAACGCACAAATATTATTCATGCCATGCCATGTACCAATCATTTTGACTTGATCATCGTTGAACGACGGATCAGGTATAGTCTTGAAAAACATTTAGATGATTTTTATTAATTTGTAATAAATATATTAAAAGGTAAATAAAACGAAAAAAAAAAAAGATAAAAAGCGTAAAAAAATAAATTATTACTGCAGTGTTGAAAAACAAATACAGAAAAAAACTTACAGTCTAATGGTTTATTAAAATTATTCTAAAATTAACTGGGTTTTGACGACTGCATCATCTTGTGGAATATTTTTATAATATTTTTTTATATCAAGATACTAAGATTGTATTATAATTATCTACAAATTTTAATAATAATACTATTTTTTTTAAATATATTATATGATTGCAATAATAATAACTTAACAAAAAATTAAAGAAATAAATGAATAAATAATTTGTTTATTTTGGCGACCAACTTGCAGCCGTGATCAATTAACCACACACCGTGCCTATTAGCAATAATAATACTCACCAAAGTCTCATAAATCAGAGTTTTTTTCATCTTCTTGATCGGCTCAGGACAACCAAATTTCAATAAATTTCAGAAATAATATGATGCGATTAATAATTGACGTTAGTATATTTTCAAACTACCTTCATTAGAAAATTCGTTAACGGCGGCTAAATTGTGGCTAGCTACTAGCTAGTTTTTACCATTGATAATAAAGAACTGTTATCAATGTTTTTTACCACGATGACATCGTGGTTCTTACGTACGTTCTGATAACAATATTTGATAAGGAAGCCCAATGGTTCTCAAAATGCGTAAATGTTCCTACATTTATTTATTTACGGACAGTGGGTCCAATATAATTCACAGAAATATGAATTTAGATTAGATTAACTAAATGAGTGAACTACGTGAGTTTGCTCAAATAACTTTAGTAATATAGTGGGGTACAAATAATAACAACAATATACAAATACGTGGTATAAGACATGTAAATAATTAGATACCTACATAATAAGAATAATAACAACGTTAATATGTATTAAACAAGTTAAGATGCTCATTGCCAAGGCGTATCGTCCTATCAATTGTCTGGTTTCTGCCGAAATTAGCATTATGAGCTGAAGCATTATAGCGAAGGGACCAGGACATCTGGTGGGACGGGAAGTTACTTTAAAATTAACTTGAGAGAGTAGGGAGGGAAGGAGCGTCAATATATCCATCAATCAATTTGCGTAAAAAGAGCAAGTTAACATCAACTCTTCTATCAGCAAAAGAAACTGGACCTAGTTTGTGCATAACTGGTCGGTAGTCGTGGGGAGTATGATTAATTTTCAGAACAGACATTGCTGAGTTTAAAAATCTTCTCTGAACACGTTCAATAAGAGAAGAATCCACAGCCATACTACAGGGGTCTCATAGTACTGATACGTACTCGAAACGCAGACCATTTAATCTCCTTGGTCAAGCGTAGGTAACACGAAACCAAGTGCCTTTAGAGATTTACAACACATTGCTTCAATGTAGGGTCGATAGTTCAGCTTAGGGCTGAGAAAAATAATCAGATTATGGGGGGACATGGTAAGAGCCTGCACGTGGCGTCTCCTACATCGCGATATATGACTCTAAGGCCAAAAATACCGGAAATGAATCTGGTCATTGAATTACCACATTCACATTACGGAAGTGCAATATATACCAAACCAGGATTGGTGGTCGTAGCAACCAGATCGAGATAATGACTATTGAGGTACGCAACTGTACAATTACTTCGGTGCACAAAACCAGCGAATACCACTTTCGCCTTTGAAAAACCTACTAACATTGATAACTGTAACGCAAAAATCGTTGCGGGCAATTTCAACAGTCACAGTGTCGCGTGGGACTACCAGTAAAACGGTCAATAATGGATAAAACGTTGAATCATGGGCTGAAGCTTAAAGTCTGTCTCTAGTTCACGACCCAAAAGTTTCCCTGTCCTTCAATAGAGAAAAGCTACAGCCCAGAACTAACCTTCGTAAGTGATGGGATTAGCCTCGAAAGCCGTAAATCTGTACACGTTAAAAATAATCGGATTATATTTGAATCTATACTAGTAAACAGTAATAATTAGTAGGTGTATTTGTGCTATTGTATGGACGGCCTGGACGGGCTATTTTCAAGTTTTATCTAAGGAATGATTTTTGTTTTGTCGAACTCTCCGAGTGTAGATCTAAAAGCAGGTTTAAAAATAAATACCGTAGTCTTTGATTGGATGTCATATCAATAATTTACTGGTAAATACGACAATTGGGAAAAACCGGAAACGAAATAATATAGGCAAAACGCAAATATCTTTTACCGCGAACTGAATGTTCTACTATATAGACATAATGCTTTAATCAGAAAATTTCTAATGTTGCGTTTTAGATCTTGCTGCGCACGAAGTAAATCGTTTTTCGATTTTCGAAGTAGTTTTCACTCGAGAGTAACCGGAAAAAGACGAATACTGAAAACGGACAAATCTACGGCGTACGAATTTATTATTTGACATTTTTACCCGCGTTATTTCCCACCGGAAATATTGCTCCAGTAGAAAAACAAAGTAGATTTTTTTTTCTAAATAATTATTTCAATTTCAATTTTTTAATAAAATCGTTAATATTACGGTCTTACAAATCATGTAGAAACGAACTTCGTTCAGAATCGTTTTTCGTTTGTAATTTTTTATCGTTGCTTACACATGTAAATTAAATAACTTTAAGTATCCTACCCTCCGTACTTCACCCCTACAATAGTGACACACCTATCTGTTTTGTAATCTTTTTTTTTTAAAAATATTGATCAATATTTTATATTGGCAATAATATTGATCGTGTATAGGTTGTATGGAAGAATTGATCAATATATTGAACAAATTAAAAATGTTTGATTTTTATTAACGCACTGTCAATGATATTGTGTTTAGCGGCCCATACACGATCAATATTTATCGACCAATGTTATTGTCAAAATATTGACGAATATTGACAATGACCACCAACGCATCAATAAATCATTATTAAAGTATATCATTAATAAGTCATCTGGTCCGTAATCAAATAGTGAAAGTGAATCAGCAACACAATAATATTGACCATCTACAAATAAATATCAAAATAATTTTGAAATTTTTCAGTTCAACCGAATTTATAATTTCCATTAAATTCCTGTTTAGAATAGTTTTCATTCAACAAGTACATTTTCTAGAATTTTCTGGAAATACATGGAGTTATCAATTCTATTCATCGTCCCAGCGACGCGGGTATTCGAGACTTTTCTCGAATATTCTGCCGCCGCGCCGTTCTCGAATATTCGTCGCCGCGCTGCTCTCGAATATTCTTCCGTTGATAAATACGCCGGCAGCCGTCTCGCCGCATTCAGTCTGTTTTCGTCGTACTCCGTGCTCGTTTGCGCTATTGTTGTTCGTGTCTTCAACGCACTTCAAAAAAATCCGTTCGGTGTTTTGATTTCAACAAGAACTCCGGCATATTAAACGATTCGTTACCGTCGCCCGATTGAAATTCATATCGAAAAAGGTATGTATTAATTTTCCCTAACGCCGTTTTGAAATTTGAATACGCTGGTTACCCTTATAGATGGGTACAAAATATATTTTGTGTAGGTCTTCTTATGTGAATTCTATCATTTGTGTGGTTCGTCGTTCCATTATTTTATAAGTTTCAAGATTTTAGTTTAAATTCATTTTCAATTTTTTTTTTACCTGTAATTGTTTACTTATTTCCAATATTCATAATTGATAATTTGAAAATTTTGATTTTTAAAAATTTATACATTTTGAAGGAATTTAATTTTACTATTTGAAAAGCAGTTATATTAACGATTTGCATCTAAATATATGATCTTAAAACCGTTATATAAGTTAATGGTACATTACACTCTAATTTAATGAACTTACTGTTGAATTTTCAGACATTTGTTTGGTTTAACAATTATATCCATATAGTAGTTACCTTGAACTTACCAATAAAAGAAAATCTACTTAAAAACAATGGAATATATAAATTGCATTTTAATAGTTCAAAAGTATTTTCAGAATATTTTTGAAAATTTTACCACTTTTAAAAACCGTTAATATATAAGTTTGGCATAAATGCAATTTAGCTCCAAAATGATATTTCGGAATTTTTTTTCCTAAATGGGAGCATTTTGAACTACCAGATTAAGTTTAAACGACTTTTAAAAGTACCATCAAATTGCATGCAAAAACATATATTTTGAAAAAAAATGCCCTAAAAATCGCTTGGGAGCTAAACTGCATTTGTTCTATAAGTTTTTCAAAATTCTAAGTCCCTGCAAAATATAATGAAAAATTGACTCGTACTCAAGATTTTGGTATACATTTATGTAGATAATTAATATCAAGTTATTCAACAAAAATTATTACTGACAAAAGTGTTTCAATGTCGTTTTTTTTTTTTTTCAGATGTCTCTTTTGCCGTTTTTATTGGAAGACCTTTCACGCCCAACAGCATATGATCAACACTTTGGCTTGGGATTGCTGGATGATATGTTAGTGCCATCAGAATACATTCCTCACATTAGAACTGACCCTTTAAGACTTAGAGGATATCAGAGACCTATGCGTCTTGTAGCTGCGCCTAAAAGCGGTTTGTCTCAAATTCACAATGACAAAGATGGCTTTAAAGTAAATTTGGATGTTCAACAATTCAAACCCGATGAAGTCACTGTCAAGGTGGTTGATGATTTCATTGTAGTCAATGGGAAGCATGAAGAACGAACGGATGAACATGGTTTCATTTCTCGTGAGTTTACCCGCCGTTACAAAATCCCAGAATCTGTTGACCAAAAATTGATTACATCGTCTTTGTCATCGGATGGTGTGCTCAGTATTGGTGCTCCCAAAAAGGTATGTTTTAAAATTATTAAATATCTTTTGTCTAGGTACAAAAAATAATGATATCTAATTATTTAGGTTGTCAATGAAAATAAAGAGGAGATATCCATTCCTATTATAAAAACCAACAAGCCCAGCATTAAGGTGTCTGCTAACAAAGAACAGAAAGAAGGAGACAAAATGGATACCAATTAAATTGCACCATTCCGACTATTTAAGATTCTTAAGATATATTATTTTTCATCTCATTACATTAATTTTTTTCATGTTCCTTCAGTTTAATTGTTTAATTTGAATTTATACACCGATTTATTAAGATAATATTAAAATCAAAATAATGTAATAATATTTTAATTATTTAATAGCATGTACACTTAAAATTATGATACTAATAAAACTAAGTAAGTGTCTTATAAGATAAAACACTGACGATTGTTATTTTATTAGTTACCTTAAGACATAAAGATTACCACAACAGAAATTGCATGGTTCATTTTTCATTGGATTCAAATATTGGAATACTATAATTACAGCACTTAAATTTGAATAATTAAAAAATGTTCATTTTTTGTCATAATTATGGATTTTCCAAATATTAATTATTTTAAATCTGATTTCTCTATGATCGTTTATGGTTTCTAAACAAGTTAAGGCTTTAGAAGACCTTTTATTCTTTGTGTCTGTATATAGTTGGGTACTAATTTATAGTTACGGTTATAACTGATATAAAAGTATTAAATATTAAAAGGATTATATTGCTGATAAATTTGCCACTGTTTTAGGAGCAAAATTGTGAGGGAGGTTTTATTATGCAGTATTCAATATTTATCTGTACTCTGGATGAAACTACTGCTCATGAAAAACAATTCTGATCATTTTACTCTTGTTGCCAAGTAAATCGTAAATATTACGTCCTTTCAAAACATGTTTAATTTAACTCCGGTTAGAATCGTTATTCATTAGCAATGGTCGTTGTGTACAACACAAACATATAATGAACATAAAATTCCTTTCTATATCCTACCTTCCCAACTTCTCATCAACAACATTAGTGAGGGGCCCATCAATTTTGTGATGTACCGTGTACCAATGTATTTTTTACTTTTGCTACTTGCATGAATAATAGCTAACTAATCTTCAGTGGTAATTGGTTAATAACTGTTGATTTATTATCATTTACCAAATTAGTAGATAGTACCTATGTACAATCGCATACTGGGTTCTATTGTAACGGAAAATTATTAAACAGGGCTCACTTATAACCATTCGAGTACCAGTCTACGTATCTACCAACCTAAGAAATCATCACAACCCTACACTAGGTAGTATTATGAAATACAAGTAGGGTAACGTGTAGGTATAAAACAAGGGTCTATATAAGAAGGCCCATCGGGAAATTCCCGGTATCCCGGCGAGCTAGTAAAGTTAGTACCTACACGCTTGCCCATGTGACCATGTATCAAGGTTTTGATGGACCATATAGTAACTAGGGCTGCCATTCGTACCGATTTGGCCGAGACACTACCATAGACATGTTAAGTTTGATCATTGAGTAACAGATAGACAACAATTTACCCCGAAAACGGAAGAAAAAGTAGCAATCACTAATTTGTCCAAGAAATGACTTTAATTTATACCTTGATCAATAATAACAACCTTAACATATCCATGAACACAACCGGTTTTAACCACGCTGTCCCGATATGTCCATCAAGTCCCGGTCAAGACAGTAAATAAAGGTACGGTTTCCACCAAGACACGACATGTGGCGGTCGCGGTGGCAGTAGTAGTATGCGATTTTGATTAGTTCAGTTTCAAACCTATACACGTACGCAGAATATTACACGGTTTGTTAAAGCACCGTTTTGTGTTGTTATGATAATGAATAGAAGAAAAAAATGTTTTTATTGTTTATGGAACTTATATTGAAAGTGTACTTTAGAGAGGCGATTTCTCGATTTTCCAAGCGGTTTTCGTAATGGATAGGTAGCTGGGCAAAAAATTTGGAAAAACGGGAAAATGTACGTAATTTATTATTTTTGATTTTGTTTTTTCGTGACGATTCAGTTAGCGAACAACGTAATCAAAACGATAGAACACACAATATTTTTTCAGGCCGGTCGCCGCAGTGACGTCCGTTTTCGCGACAACCGACACGCACGTTACACTGCCGGTTTGAAATAATTCTGTCGGAAATACCGTTTGCGACCAATTGAACACACGAACAGTTCTAACGGTCGGCCCGCGGTCCGTACGGCCGCCGGAAAAGTCAACGACGGCCCGGCAACCGGGCAAATGACATTAATGCGCGATCCGAACCAATAGATAAGAATAATATTAATCGGAAACGTCACGAATGCCAAGTCCAACACGGTTAATAATAGTATAGTTTTTTTTTTTTTCAGCTCTTCGACTCTCCTGCGCGTAGTGCGCCGTATGTCTCCCGACAATACGATCAACGCGACGCGTACCAGCGCGGTTAACGTGACGTTTACCGCGATTTCCCTGACGGGGAACGTGTTTATCGCGGTGTTCCTGGTATTGACGGCACTGTGTTGGCTGTGCGAGAAAAAACCCAACGCCGCCGCCGTAGCGTGGAACGCAATCGTCGTGCTGTGGTACGTGCGCGCGTCTATCCGTAAAACCGTTTTGTGTTTTCTCTCGTCCGTTTTTTCCCGTCGTTTTTAAAATCGGCAACGCGTGTCCGGGCATCGGGCGAATCTCTGCCTAAAGAGAATCGCGCCTCGTCCCCGCCTTGCCGTCACCCGCCGGCCGGCCGGCTGTTTTCCTGTGAAAAACCACGTCCGTTTCCCGCGTCCGCGACCGAACCGGATTTCCACAGCGGGTTTTAACAGCGCGGCTCTAGGTACCCGCGGATGTTTTTTTTTTCCGCCGACGCGAACAACGGTGACTATAAATCCGCCCCGCGTTACTGCTAAACGCTGACGGGATTGTTGATATTGTGCGGATATCATTTTCACGCGTTAACTATCCGGGTGCATAAAGTATTATTTCAAATTGATTACTGGTGTCTACTGTGACCGGACTCGTCGTCGGTCGACCCGAACCGCCGCGGTGTCCGGATACTTGTCGAAATTCATCGCGGAAGTCCCGTTATATTTCGTACAACGACAATGTATCGGCCACCGTTTACAGTATGGAAATCGCAAACGATTTTCAGAAATTCGACCACCGGTGACCGGCGCACGCCACCACGTGCGTTTTATTCCTCAATCCGCGGAAATTGCGATTTGATTTTTTTTTTTTTTTACTTTTTCTACTTCTGGATTCCGTTGTTTATGCATACGGAAATAAAAACTGTGCTGCTCTCATTTTGTTTCGTTTTTTTTTTTTGATTTAAGCAAATTCCTATGCAAAAGTTCGATGGTATTGTCCCCCGCAAGATACCGAACGGTTAGCAGTGTTATTACGCCGAAAAAATATAGCGTCATTAACGTTTTATTCCTCAATCCGCGGAAATTGCGATTTGATTTTTTTTTTTTTTTTTTTTTTATCTATGATTTCCCTCGGTGTTCCACGATCACGATGGAAAAAACCGTATTTAATTTATAATATAATAATGAACATTTTCTTTAAACGGAAAGTTCGATCTCTATTGGTCCGGGGATATACCTCGAAAATACTTGTTCGATTTGCGTCCTTACTAATTATACTTATGATAATATTTTAAGTGTGTTAAAATTAATATTAATATTAATTAATGCCTATTAGATTCGTGAGTTTTAAATTTAATTACAGGAACGTTTGTCAAGCGATGATAAAGGGCGTGTACACCACGGGCAAAAATGAGGATCCGGACGTCGAAGAACCCGAGTCAGCGGATTCTTCCGGTGACCAAGCTTATGATCAAACTCCGGGTTCTTTGACGGCCGACCTCGTTCCACCGTCGTTAACCCCTTACGTTTCGTTTTCACAGCTAGGAGTTAATACCTCCCAAGAAATCGGTAAATATACATTCTAAAATAGACTTCTGTATAAAAACTATGACAAAAACCCACCTAGCTCCTAATAAATTATTGTTGATTTGATATAGAAGAAGCCTGCATGAGTAGCATAATTCTAGTAGTTCTATAACCAGAAGGGCGCAACCAGTCAAAAAAGCTCTGAACTATTTTAAATTTAGTTTATTTGATTTGCATTTGGGAGAGGTAATAATACTTTTGATATTTGTTGTATGTATTTTTTTTTTTCATCTTGTAACAATTATTTTTATTTTCACTAATTTTGATCAATATTTAATAATTTATCATAAAAAAAAAAAAAAAATTAAAAAAAATTTGTTTATGTTACAATGGGACCACAGTTATGTAATTTTAAATTGTTTTAAAATTTTGCAGCAAATATATAAGCATATTTATTGTCATTTGTATGATCAGTTAAATTGGTGGCATAGTAATGGCGATCCAAAATTGGCGATTGTCGGAGAACTTTTTGGGGGGCTTATAGCCCAAGGAATAATACTGTAATTAGATTTCTTTGGTTTTAGTATAAATAATTATACTTATAAGTTAGATTATATAATATATGTTTTTTTTTTTTTAGCAATTTATCGGACGATTGGAAGCCAGAGGCTAGAACTATTTTAAACTATTTAGAAAATGATGATATTAAATATGTGAACTTCGCCCAATCAGCATTCAAAACATTAAAAAAAGATTTACCGCCAAGGTATTCATATCTAATCCAGGTGTTTCAAAAAAGAAAAAATTACTGTCAATGTATTATTTTAAACTTATAAAATTTCTTAGAATAATTAATTGAGTTAATATCCGATTCACAGATTTAACAATATAGCAAATAATAATATAGGTAATGGAATAGCCAATAGGTATCGCTAAGTATCATTTTTGTATCAGAAACTCGTGGTGTTTACAAAACTTGGATAAGTATTACTTATCGATCATTACTATCATATTATGTTCTTAAAATACGGTTGTAGGTTTTATGCGAATAGTAGAAGAAAACTGTAAGATTTTGGAATGGCGAAATGATTCTCGTGATAATCTCTTACTTAATTATTATACTTTGCTACTGCAAAATATGCATCGCAAGAGACTGGGCATTGGTTCTTGTGAATTTATACGATATTGTATAGGTACTAAAAATACCATATACTTATTTAATAACTTAATTATAGGTAGGTAGTTAACAATAGGTAATAAAATGTAAAAAATCAAAAATTTATTAATAAATAAATAACCATTTTGTGTTAGTGAAACTATACTTATTGTCTCACAAAAGACATTATTATAACCAAACGTACCTAATATTTAATGTACCTACTTATATTTTTAGGAAATGATCGATAAGCAACGGACAACTACACAAAGAAGGGAGCCTACTGCCTTCATTATACCACCTTATGCTTTTAACTATAAGTATTTGTGAAATAAGGTTTATAGGTTATTTTTCTTGAAATTATTATTTCTTTACTTGATTATTATTTATTTATTACATTTTTATACCTTTACTCTACTACAGTCAAACGTAAAACAAAGATTGAAATCATGCGTATAATATTGTATTTTTTTTTTTTTTTTTTGTGTTACCTTATACCTTTATAATTAAATTTTTGTTAAACATCTATTTGTGCATTGATTTTTGGAAATATTTTGATTGATTCAGATACTAAAATAATGCTAAAAATTAGGATTCATGAAGCTACAATGTAGCTGCTACATAATATCAACGTTAACGTAAAAAAAACCTCAATAAACTGACTAATTCAATTAATTACCACATTATATATTGTATATTTATAGCATATTATGTTAAATTTGTGAAATACTGTAAAAGTAATACAAAATCATGCTTAAACTTTGTATAATAGTATAGTTTAATGTAAGATGTTAAGTAGAAATTAGGCAATATTTAAATTTTGTCTCCGTGAAGATGTTATTGGTAAGTTTTACTTTGCCTAATTTGAATATTATATTTTAATAAATGCCTACTAAGTACTTGTATAGGTATTTTTTCTTTTTATACTAAAATTCAAGTTTTCTTAATTTTTTTTCTTTTTTAAATTTGTCATTATTATGTTGGAATCATATTGTTATTCATTTTCAATTAAACTATTAGTCTTTCTGTCAATGTATCTCCAACTCAAAAATCATAATATTAACATTTGAATTCATTAATCAATAGGTAAATACATTATTGAAATTGGTTTTTTTTTTTATAACAACTCAATTTACACTATATTTTTAAATGATATAGATTATTTTTTTTATTTTTTAGTCATCATTCATTATATCAAGAAAAAGCTGATTTAACCACGAAAGGTGGAGGATACAAATAAAATGCATCCATGTATTTGGATATTAATTTGGAATCAAGTTTGACTTAATTATTTAGATTATTGAAATGTGTACTTCTAAGATAATGAATGCAATTACCACATAGCGTTGAAATCATTTAAACTATTCTATATTTTTACAAATCCAAATGTATTGATGGATATTCTCCAATTTCTTTTGGTAAATTAAGGTAGCTAACATTCTTAAAAATGTAGGTAGGTGTGTAATCGTAGGTAATGTTGATATTTATCGTATATCTAAGTAATGTGTTTTTCACTAATTTTTGTGTTTTGAATTAATAAATAATTTTCGTGTTTTAAATTAATAAATAATTTTAGTTAAATTTGAATATTTTTTTTGTAAAGCTTAAAATAATAATTACAATAAGTTGTTTGGTAATTCAGATTATTTACCTATTGAAGGTAAAGACCTTAAGTTATTTATTATTTAATACATGATTTGTTTTTAGGATATTGTAATTAAATGATTATTAATGCTTCTCTTACATTTCATTTTAAATTGGTCTTTCTTCAACAATAAGATGAATAATAAGATTTATTATATTTTTAAATGGTGAGATTTGTTTATATTATTGAAAGGATATTTACTATTAATACTTGATATTTAAAAATTACCTTATATGTTTTATTTAAAAAAAAGTAATAGTGGTATTTTTGATTTTATTAATACAAAATATGCTTCAAGAGATTCAATAAAATTAGTTGTATTAATAAAAAAAGGGGATCTATATAGACCTAAAATAATACATTTTTGTAAAAGCATAGTTCTATAACTAATTATTTTACATGTATTATTTATAAATAAGGTTATACTTTCAGCCTTATTAGTAGTAGTATAATAATGATATACTTAATTGAAATACATATCATGCCAATTTTCACAGAGTATAATAATATAAAAATGATCTATGAAAGTTAATAGAAGAAATAAGTAATTTATTTTTATACACACATTATATTTTTGATGTTAACATTACTTTTATACAGTTACAATGATAAATTCTAATTCTAATTTTATTTTTTTATATAAACAGTACTTATTATATTATTTTCTACAACAAGATGTTTTACTCAATATAATACAATTTGTACATATTATTTAATTTACATGTTTAATCATACATTAACTAATATGTTATAATACTCTAGTTATTAGTAGCTCCAAGATTTTCTGCAAGTGGCTCGGCTCTTATCAGCAGAATAATGGAGAAAATCGGGCTTCAACTTAAGGTCAACCTTTGGTGAGTAAATGCATTAAATATGTCCAATATTTTTAATAAATAAATCTGTATAATTTGCATGATATTAGATAATAAGGATAGTAATGAGAAAAGAAAAGGTTTTATGTTTTTCAGACATAGATACTGTGCATAAAGAATTGGGATTATCAAAATAGGTATAATCCGTATAAAAATTGATTTTATAGTTATAAAAACAAATAGATTTATATCATATTATGATGTATACTTATAAAGTTAACTATAATTATTATAATAATAGACTTTTTGCATAAGCCAATACATATAGCATATAGCCAAAACAGTTACTGGCAATGGCCAAATAAACAAGTTAGATCAGTCTTTGAAAACATAACATAGATATTATAAATTTCATATTTGTTCTACAAATGCTTATTTGTTAGGCAATGCACATAATTTGTATGTAATTGAAAATATTGAAATAATATAATTTATTATACAATTTTCCAGTCTGTAGGTTTCGGTAAAGTTATATTATTAACATTGTAAAATGACACATCACCTGAATTCACAATGGCCCATAGAGTAGGTACGTTATCATGAGGATTGGAAGCATTGACATCATAAATATTTGGAAAGTTGTTTAAATAGTCTCTAAAACATAGTATAAAATATGATTATTAATAAAACATTACAGTATGGTGTATATTCTTCATTCATACTCAAAAACGATAACTCTGAAGTCTGCCACTGGTCTATTTTTTTTGGGGAAATGGTTATTTGGATAATAAACATCATAACGTATGCTATAGTCACTATTGGTATTAAATTCGTACTTAACTTCTGTTAGTTTAATGGCAAATAGTTTCTCTCTAATGTGACCTAAATTTAAACACATATAATTAAATGCACAATGACTAATAAGTATAAAAAAAAAAATGTACATAATACAGCAGGGCTGTGCCTAGGGGAGTACGAGAAGTGCACATACACCGGGTGCTATGCCTAGAGAGGTGCCAATGAATATTTTAAAGTTTTGTAATCTAATATTTTAAACGTAGTAGACTTATGAATAGAAGTCGTATTTTTATAATTTTACATATTTGTTTAAAGTGTAAGCGATTAAATGGGAGTTAGATATCTTCACGATTTACGAAACAGAATTCAGAGAAAAAAAATTATTTTGCATAAAACGCATATTTAAGGGGCAAGCGAATATTTGTGAATATTTTATATTTTATTATTGATCCTATTATTTGTATCGACATGGATCAACATTTCAATAATATTGATCAACAAAAACAATTTATTTTAAAGCGAGTTATTTATATTCTGGGTTTGTGTGAACACAGACGGACAGGTGTAGCATAAAATGATAGCTTGTTTTTTTTTGGTTTATTTTTACATTATTTTATTACCAGGCGCTGATTTTACTAAGCCCACAGTACAGTAATATTTTTCATGTCTTTTAATTATTATTATCATTACATAGTTAGTTAAATATAACAAGACAGTTGATTATATATAGTGGATTCCGCTTAATGTGACCATCGGTTAATATGAGCTTAATGATCTGGTCCCAATTTTAATGTATAACAATACACATTTTGGTTAAAATGGGTAACCGCTTAATGTGGGCAAATGTAATTGGGCCTAACATGCTCACATTATCGGAATCCACTGTATATCAAATAGTTTTACTTGGTATCCTTGATTCCATCGAACATTTTTCATTTTCAGTAACTCTTTGAAATGGTTCAGCTTTGTCATGTTCACTATTCGTTTCAGTATTGGTTAAATTCGCATTTACAAATGAAGAAGAAGCAGTCATAGTATTGACATTTTTAGTTTCAGTATTGGTTACATTTGTATTTACAAATGAAGAAGAAGCAGTCATAGTATTAATATTTTTAGTTTCAGTATTGGTTACATTTGTATTTACAAATGAAGAAGAAGCAGTCATAGTATTGATATTTTTAGTTTCAGTATTGGTTACATTTGCATTTACCAAATAACTCAGATTGGAAGTCAAATTAATAGCAACTGGTAAATCATCTTTATTGGTATTCAATAGTTTTAATTTCTTTTTTTTTGGCTCGTAATTATTTTTTTCAATAGCCTTTACCATTAATTCTTCTCTTTTTGGAATGTTTTTTTCGTATACCGGATACATTCCAGTAGGTGGTGATTCATAAACTATGCTTTCTTTTTCAAAGAATGGTTTTTTTTTATAATTTTCAGAGTAGTAATCAGATAGCATAGCAGTGATTTCCATATGTCGACCTTTAGTAATATTGAACATATAAATATTGTTACAGGGTTGTAAATTATGTGGTAAATAACATTGAGGCGGTGTTGATACTACCACCCAATTAGTTCCAGCGATTTTAGGAAAACATACATTATCTCCCAAGGATGAATTAACTAAATGGGTATTCTTTTTTTGGAATTTTTGGTTGTTTTTAACGCTATTATTATTTTTTTTTCGTGCAGACTTTTCTGGTAATTTGGTCAGATTTGGTAAGCTACAATTATTTTGGTTTAGCTTATTGTCAAATTTAAACACACGGAATCCCATTTTTTTTAAGTAGCTATATGTTTTATATTGTTTGTAAGTACAACTACTTCCTTCTGCTAATAATAGTGTAAATGCATTTTGAAAAGACAATTCATTTCCCTTCCATCTCAATATCAAACTATTCTGAAAATAAAATATTAATTAATTTAAAATCATAAATTATAATTGGTGCATTGTGAATGTTATTTTTTAATTTCCTTATTATTTTAGAAAACCCATAAAAATGTATGTTATAATGGTAATAATAGTTATTATCAATTTTGGTTTATTGTTATTATTTTTTTTTTGTAATTTTGTCAGAATGTATTATAGATACCTATAATTTTCAAAAAATACTTGAATACGAGATTCATTATAAGTTATAAAAAATGTAAAAAAGAAAACAATAATTGTTTTTTTTTTTTTAGTTATTTTACTTAGTTTTATTACTATTATTTTCAATTTAAATGTAAACACATGGTTTTTTTACTCTTTCCTTTCTATATTGAATTGATTGGTCTTATATTTTCCAGAACTTTATAGACAAAAATATTTTATTATAAACATATCAAATTAAATTAAATTAAAGGAATTAAAGGTAATCTTTAAATAGTAGAATATGTCTTGAAAACTAACAATACACTATACACTAAAATAAAAATAGACTAGAATAATTTTATCACATGAGATATTATACTTTATACCACTACCAGCGATTTTAAGTGTAAATTTAAAACTTTTATTTATAATGACAACTTTAAAGTACAAAATAGGTATTTATGAGAACCAAATAACCAATTATTTAGAATAAAATTAAGAAAAAATAATATGTATTTGTTATTATTATGATTATTCTCTGTAGGAAGGAATTAAAAATAGTTATTAGTCTGTAAAACAGTATAAGAAGTTAAAGACTCAAGAGGATTGCCTCATCTCGGATGTCCATGGTTGGCTAATCTCACATAGATGAGATAAAAGAAAATTTTTTTTTTTTTTTAATTATTTTATAAAATTTACCATTTTTATTTCTTGTGTATTTACCACAATAAACATCATATAACCCTAATCCTATATTGTACTAAGTATTATTTGATTTTTTATATTGTAAAAATTGATAGTATTTTATAACAAACTAAAGCTATCAAAATTGTATAGTATCACAATGAAACATCTGCATACCAGTTTTAATCACAATTACAATAGCACACAATAAAATAAATCTGAATGAATATTATTTAAACAAATAGAAATCTGAGACTCAATAAAAATATTGCTTCTTTCTAATTTCTAGCATAGTATTTAAATTTCTTTGTACCTATTGAAAAAATATATAATTACCTTTTCTAGCAAAAATAAGCATTCTTCTGGATACAGATATATTGCCTTATTCCAAGAATGACCAAAATTTTTGGTAATATTATTTGCAAATTTGGTGATTTTTGCCATTATTAAATTTTCATCCCATTCAGCTTCAGATTGTGATGCACTATATAACAGTACAAATACTATTAATTCATGGCATATACATTAATATATAAATGGATATATTATGTTATGAGCAAAGTTGGAGTGTTATAATGATAATTTGTATATGACCCAAAATTTTTAGGCATTGTGCACGGTGTTAAGCTATTATGGTTTAATGCCTGGATTTCCTACTTTGCCTGTTACATTTATTTTTAAATATATTTCTTTGTTGTAATTACTGAATACCTTTATATAAATAATTTCTAGACAAAATAATAATAAAAAATAACTAATTACAAGTTTTCTTTGAAAATTAATTTGTGTTAGTAAATATTGTTGTTTAGGCTAATAACCAACAAAGAAAAAAAAATATATATACAATTACTTTTTTTTAATAGTACGTGGTTTTTCCAATTTGAGTTTACGGGCGTATAACAATTTATTAATGTCCTTTTCGTTACATTTTTCATTTTTTTTTTCATTACAATTCGTTAATTTGTGTGCCTTTTGTCTATGATATGGATTGCATATTCTAAAAAAATAATTAAATATTAATAACTATACAATTACACATAATAAATACACATATATATATATAATATATACAGAGTAATTTTTAAAATTTTTAGGTGTAGTGAAGATATTTTCACAAACTTACATTTTTCACATTAATTAATGAGTATCATGTGGCGATACCAAATTTGGTTTTTCAGAAGAGAATGTATATTTTTTTTAATAAAAATTGACAATCGAATGATTTTTTTGAACATTTTTCAATGTTGTATTCGAAATTTGATTGAAAAGTTTCTGAGTTATTTTGCTTTAAATACTATGGATAATAGTCTTTTATGGGAAATGAATACCAACCATTTCATAATAGTCACGTGTAGACAATGTCTTATTTTAAATAATGCAGCTATCGAAAAGATGATTGGCCTTAGTATTACAATAAAATTACTCTTTTAACTTTTTGTTCCAATTTTTGATTACCATATGTCAACATAATTAAAAAAATCATTTGATAATTAACACCTAAACATGTAGGTTATCATTAGAAAAATTAAAGTTGGTATTGCCACTGAATACTCCATAAATGTAGGTGAAAATCTAAGTATGCAAAAATATTGCTTTTTCTTACACTTCAAAATTCCAAAAAATAAGAATGTGAATTTACCCATATTTCAATTATAAAAATGGGGAAAAATACGTAAAAATCAGCTTGTATGTATACAGTAAAACTTCTACATAGCGGTTACGAAAGAACCAGAAATAATGACTGCTGTTTAGAGATGACCATTTATAAAAGTGCAATACTTCCAGATGACTGTTTAACAGAGTACATAAAAAAAAATTAACATAATTTTAAAATTGCATCTTTATTTTTTATTAAATCAGTGGCTTGAGTTATGCCTATTCCAAATTTATCTGTGAGAGCACGCACACTAATATTTTCTTTTTCACAATAATCTGACAGCTTGATTTTTTCTGCTACAGTTAGGTGTTTTTGTTTGAACACTATCATAACCATGCGAAACATTTTCAACTGAAATTAGTAACTAATGAAACATAATAAAACACACAGACATGCTGTGTTCATAGCATTATTGTAAAAATTTGATAAACTTCCATAAATAATTTGAGCAAATATACACTTTAAATTTCCTATATAATAATTCTGTACATATTTTCTATTATTTTATCTTATATTTTGATTGTTATTATTTAGAGTGCCTGTTGTATAGAAGTATTAATGTATTTTTCCCTTAACACTTGACAGGTCCAAAAAAATTACAGTGACATAGAAGTTAATGGAAGTTTTACTGTATATTGAATTTATAATTGGTAACAAACTTAATCATTTCTTGTCAATATGGCAAATGTATTTACCATTTGTAACAAAAAAAATTTAATGTTTTTTTCAAAACATAGTCATGATCCATTGTCATGTTACACAACATAAAGAAATAATTACTTGATCTTAATACATTTCATTCTCAATTAGTGATTCCAGATAGTAAATAAGTATAATATTAATATTTTATTACATTCTTAAAACTATTACTTAGTGGAGAGTTTTAGAAACTAAAATATAAAAATGTTCTTAAAAATAATAAGCTGTAAATTATTTTGAATTTCACTATCTGTATTAATCTTAAGGTATCTAATAACTCATTATACAATTTAATAATAGACTATAGGCAGAATATTATAGAAATAGAATTTCATATCTTTTAATCATATTCCATTTTTTTTTTTGCTTCTTAAATTCATTAATTTTTTAGTTGAATCAAAAGACTACGACTCGAGAATATTTTAATTATTAAGTGATATATTGTATCTAACTAAAAGGCTGTATAATAAAAATAAACAAATTTTCTATGAATCATATACAAGATCATCTTTAAAAGAAGTTTTAGAAACAGTATTGATATAGTTATGGTAGAAATAATTATAAACTATAGTAAGTTATTTGTAAGTGTCAGAATAGGTACGTTTAACAAAAATACTATTTCAGAATATTATGATAATCATATCTAATTGAAATTTGGTTATAAGTGTGTAAATTATAATTATATTAATATAGACACATCAATGTTTTGCTATATAGCTCAACAAAAACAATAATTTGATCTTTGTAGTTCTAAAAATACACATTTTTATCAGTCTTGTAACGAATAGACTTTAGAAATTTACTTATGTTGTTCAAATCTAATATTTTGTAAACAAATCTATCAAAAAATATTATTATAATACAAATGGAAATATATATGAGATAGCTTCATACATATGTTGTAACAGTGTAGTATATATTATAGTATTGTACCCGGTAAACACTAATAAGTGGTATCAACTATAATTAATAAATCATTTTTGGGGATCTCATTCAAATTGTATTTAATTAATAATATCTGAATGAATATTTTGACTCACTTTTTGTCGTCCATAATATTCGAAATTCGGTTAGGTTCAATACTTCAATATAGGTATCTCTTAAATTTTAAAGAGTAGAAGTTTTAGATCACGAACTTGCAAGTGCTTTAAAATATAAACACCGGTTATCATATTATCACCTGAACTGTTATTGTAGAGGAAATACGTTTATTGAACGAAAACGTGACATACTTATGAACGCACCATGCACCTTATAGTTTATACCACGAATTAAAATGTATAGAATAACAGGATATCGAACGAACGTGTGATAAGAGAAGCTCGAACCTTCTCATCACGATTTATACTATATATATATAAAAATATAATCTGTGTTAATAGTTTATACTTCTATAATCAATACTAATAGACTGGCCTCGCGCAAATGCGCCCTTGCCTACAGCTGCAATTCACCGATCAAACAGACAGCATTGGTGTGGCATATAATCTCATCAGTGTTGTCACTGGACATCTATTCTTGTACATTATACAATAATATTTTAAGTACTAAAATGTATTATTATTATTTCATTATGCTAGTCGACGGTCGTCAGAAATTAATATGTTCAGTGGTGGCTATCCTAAAAAATGTAGGTATAGCGAAACATACTAATTACTAGTAACCACCCATCAAGGGCGCAGATAAGGAGCGTTCACCCCCATTTCAAAATTACAACAGTAGTTAAATTTTTTATCAAAACTCAATTCACTCCTATTACAAATAATTAAATATCGAACTTTGAAGTCAGAACCATAGGCGCAATTAGACTACTGACTACTATTTTGTTCTGATCATTAATTATGAAATATAATATGGATACATTATTTAGTCGTTGCTACGAAAAAGCTGATTGGATTTTTTGGGGGGTGCTAAAGACCCCCACATCACCCTAGTTGCGCCTATGGTCTTTAATTTCCAATAAATAATTTATTCCTACACTTCTGTCATCTACCTTCACCAATCTAATCTAATCTATATTACATCCCATGTATTATTCCATAATGTGTAATTAGGTAATAATTATGTTCATAAATACAAATTAGGATTAGGTACATAGATCATCCAACAACCACTTATTAAAGGCTTAATGGTCCATCTAGTTTAAAGATTATAGAATTCAGTATTTTCATGATTAACTTAATTATTCATAAAAAATGCTCCTAAGTATTAGAAAACAATATAATATAATACAATATAATACCATTACGTTGTACGAATTGCACGATAATAATTATTATTGTGCAGTCACAAGTCCAACAAGAGAAGCGCCCTCTATCTTTGATCATTGTGAATGCACAAGAAACCAGTGTACCAATGGTCATAAGGTAGGTCTATGGATCACACCCATTTTATGTTTTATCTTTTTTAACCGCGGCCGTAGCATTGATAAATTAATACTCTGAAAAAATCACATCATGAATAATGATAACAATGATCTGTGAATGGTCAAACATTGTGCCAGACTGATGTTTTTATTATTAAAATATTAATCTTTGTTATTTGTGAGTTTTTAGTTGTTATTTTATTTCTAAACGTGTCGTCTTGTGTAATACTTTTTCTTATTTCCTCAAACCCAAATAATAGACACGCCATAATAATAATAACATTTATGCTTGTTCACATCAATAATGTTCTAAAGACAGTGCGTATGACGTTCACCTACTAAAGTTTTTAATCTGATTAACAATCTTCATCGGGGAGTACTTAATATAGTTATTATATAGTTATTGTACCACCAGTTATTAATCACCACACATACACACTGCAAGCTATGTAAGTACCGAGTAATAATCTATAGTTTGTAATTTAGTAAATTTGGACACATTTCAACTTTTGACATTTCCGAAGCTAATGTACAAACAACTGTGTATAGTTGTTATCTCGATTTCTAGTTAGACTAGCTAACTTTGTAAATTCGTTTACCTACCTACCTATTTATAATACCTAATTGATTTTAGTTTTTAGACTAATTTTATTTCTTTTTTCTTTTAGTTTTTTTTGGATACGTTATGTACAATAAAAATCAAATCTATTAATTTCAAATTTTTGATAGGCACTATCTAATAAATATTTTATGACCTTTGGTCACGAAATAAGACTTGTTAGTAAGGGACCAAATTTTAATGCTAAATGCACTTATTTTTGAGTGATATTAGACAATGCATTCTAGGTACTTGCATAACTTGATTCATGTAACAGACTTCAAAGGTAAAACTTTTATTTTGCCTCTTTTTGATTTTTAGTGCATTTTTTTCGTTTTATTATATATTTGTACAATATATGAGTAGGTATAATATAATATAGTATTTGTACATAATATGACCTTCAATTAAATACATTTGGTATACCTATTTAACCTATAATACAAATTAGTAATTTAAATTTAGCTAATTCAAAATATGTTTTTCTGATTTTCCAGTCGATCAGTCAAATACAGTCCCTCAGTCAATACTATCTTTACTAGACAAGTCAAATTTCTCAATTATTATTATTTTTTTTTTTCTAAATAAAATAAAAATATTATAAATTACTCAGTAAAATAATATATTTAAAAATGTGTATTATTTTTTAATGGAATTTTCCCTCTATAATGCATTTTTTAGCTTTTTTATAGAGCATTTATCAATGTTTTTTAGTGCATTTAAATTTGGGCCCTACTTATAAGCTTTGGTTATTTTGTATGTTTCCATAGAGTTACCTAATTTTACTCTCTGGTTGTTTCTTGCAAATATTGTGCCTAAACAACACAACTTATATGTATATATATATTAAGATATATATCTTAATTTGTGCAAAACATCCAAGCATTCGCAGTAAAATCTAGAAATTAATAAAAGGAATTGCCATTAACAATCCTACTGGATGTTTGACTGTTTAGGCAACACACCTATAGTAATATTTTAGATATGTACCTAATAATATTTTTATAATTTTTCAGATAATATACATTTACGTTTAATTCAGTTCTAAAATGTTTAAATTTAATACGTCTAATAAACACTCTAATAATACTCAAACTGATAAAGATCTCAAGGAAGAAGGTAACCGGTTATTCAGTTACAAACAATATGAAAAGGCAATTGAGTGTTATAATAAAGCCATAGTGAGTAAAATTAATAATTCCTTATATTTTTTTTAACTATTGTGTATTAATACATGTTTTTAAATATGCAGATAAAAAATCCAGTAGTTCCTATATATTTTACTAATCGAGCTTTATGTTTCTTGAAGCTAAAACAATGGGATAAAGCATGTACAGACTGCCGACGAGCTTTAGAAATGGATTTTAGTTTCATAAAGGGTTGTTTTTTCCTGGGCATTGCACTAATTGAGTTAGGAAGTTATGACGAAGCTATAAAGCAATTACAAAGAGGTATAACATTTCTGTTTGAATTTATTCTAAAAATATTGTGTTCATTAACTTAAAATTGATGTTGTTTATTATCAGCTCATAATTTGACTAAAGAGTATAAAGTTAATTACGGTGATGACATAACAAGTCAACTTAGAAGAGCTCGTAGACTGAAATGGGAAAAACAAGAAGAAGTAAGACAAAATCAAGAAATTGAACTATTGGTGAGTAATAAAAAAATATTTGTGCCATTTGAAATAACTATTGTTCTGTTCAATATTTTTTTTTGATACATATTTTTTTTTTAAATAATTAGTACTCTTTTAGGCTACAGTTTATACATGAATCTTTTTTTTAGAGGAGGGACCCCTAATAAAAAAATAAAACATTTTGTTACAATTTTTTTAAAAAAATTCAAAATAGTAATTTTCAGAAAATTTTTGATTGTTGATACTTTTGCTAAAGTATGGTTTTTTTATTTTATAAGATTTTATTGAAAATTTTAATTATTTTTCTTTTTAATCATAACAATATTGTTTATGAATATAAATAACCATTATTGATTTACTTTTCCAATACCCATTACCTACAATATGATAATATTATTGCGTGATATTAACTCATGAAAAAGAAAATCCTTGTCATGTGCCCTGTCTTATAACTGATTAAATATTGTAATAAAATAATCACAATAGGTAATATTCACATTTGCAAAAACTTCAAAAAATTATAGAAAATAAAAGACCATACTTAAATAAGTTTCAACCACCAAAAATTTTCTAAAAATCTGTTTTACAAAATGGCTATTTTGAATTTTTAAAAAAAAATTGTAATTTTTTTATTTTAAGTCCCTCTTCCCCTAAAAAAAAATGTATAAACCGTAGCATTATTAATTTTTGGCATAATAATTATTTAAAATAAATATATATCAAAAATATTGAATAAAACAAAAGTTAAAATATAATAAGATATTAAATAATATCTATTATATTGTAAAAGTATAAATACCAGTAAATTCTAAGATTTACCAAAAACTGTTGGTAAAGATCCCAGTTTCAGACTTATGATTGATTTTGTTTAAAGCTTTGACACAAAAAATAGTTTGATTAAACTCTAAATGGTTTTGTGATTTGGACTTTTACAAGTGAGTCATGATAAATCTTAGAATAAACAATCGATGTTGGTAAAGGTTCGAAAGTTCAAATTTTTATTTCATTCATTCAAATTCCCAGAAAGTAAATCCCATGCAACCAGTCTTTCAATGTAATCTTAAATAGTAACATGTAAACCTGCTTTGTTGAAAAGAAGTGTAAAAGCAAGAAATAACTACTTGAGTAGCAAACCTCTGTCATTAGAGGTGAATTAACATGGCAAGTGCAATATAGGGATGGAACTTATTTTTTAAGTATCAATAATTTAAGTGTGAGAAAATTGATATATCAATACATCTAACATTAAATATGTATTTATATATATATGTACTAGGTGATTCATTAAAGTGGGTACACTCAATATCTCGAAAAGTATTAACTTTTTCCGGAATTCAATTTTTAGAACATTTAAGAAACAAGCTGGTCCACAATTTTATGTTTGTGTTATTTTTTTCACCCTTATTTTTGGGGTTAAAACCACTACTTACTTTGGATTTTCAAATAGCTATAATCTATATTAAAAATTCAACAAATGGATGGATTTTGGTGCTTAAATTTTTGATTTTTGTCAATCTGTTGATGATAAATTTTAGAGTAAAAATTATTTATTTCCATTGATCTATTGACAAGATATACCACTTTTAGTTTTAAGTTGGATGAGAGTAGTGGTGCATTATTAACACATCGCTCGCCATACTGCCACACTAATAATACTCCACTAGTCTCCTTCAACCCAAACTTTAAAGTGGAATATCTCGTCAACGGATTGCCGGAAATAAAAAATTTTAACTCTGAAATTTATTTTAACTAATTCTCAATCTATTTATGGACTTTTTAATTTAGGTTGCCATTTGAAAATCAAAAGTAAGTAGTGGTTTTACCCCAAAAAATAACACAAATATAAAATTTTGGAAAATCTTGTTTCTTAAATGTTCTAGAAAACAAATTTTGGAAAAAGTTAATACTTTTCGAGATAATAAGTGTACCCACTTAAATGAATCATCTGTTATATGTATCAATTGTTCTTATACATGTAATTATACTGTAGTTTAGCAGAAAATATAAACAATTAATATTCATTTTAACATCATTTTTATCGCATTTTGTTTTTATATTTTATTTTGTTGACCTATAAGAGTGAGAGTAATGATGAATGATCATAAATATAATACTATTACTCATTCCACATTACCAATAAAAGTAATTAAAATATCAAAAAAAACTTAGAAAAAAGTTTATTTTTGTCATACCTATTTTCATAATTGTATAATAATAATAATAATACCTACTTTTGAACATCCAATGATGTATATCATTATGTATACCCGAAAGTCAAAAAGCTGAGTTAATAAAATATAATGGCAGATAAATTATTTTTATTCATCGATATACAAATTCTTATAGTATAAAATAAAATTATAAATGTTGTGTTAAAATACAATGAATGACAAAATAATTTTTTATTAATTATTAACAATTTAAAATATAATATTATAATTTTATTAAATAATGTTAACATTTTTTTTCATCAAGTGATGATAAAAACACAAGTTTTCAAACATTTTTTAATTTAATCTTGTTCGTAAAATGAATATCAAATTCCCAGCTTTAGAAAATAACCATTAACTTGGAACACTGGATGCCACAACAGACTAATATTTCTTAGCTACAATTTTTAAAGTTTCAAATGAATTATTATCCCCAATACTGAATTGATGTTTAATTTCATGCAATTATAGACTGTTTTAAGTAAAGTTTTTTTTCATATTTAATTCCATTTTTAGGACCATTTAATTCTTGGTATTGTTTTTTATTGTGTTCTGTCCGAATATCATTAGTGATTTGTGTAGATATGATTGAAGTTAAAGCTGTTGAAGATGCTAATATTATTATTATTTATATTACCTAAAATTAAAATTAATTTTAGTATTAAATAATTTTATTCTATAGGTATCTATTAGTATATAATGTTTAACTTCACCAACCGCCCAAACCTGAGAAATTATGCTTAACCTCTTATTTTACTTACCCTCCCGTTCTTTTGGATAAAAAAAATATCCTATAACACTCTGGTAAAGATAAAGAATTGAACAAAAAAATTTTTGACAATATACCTACCTATACATAAAGTAGTTTTCAAAATTAAAGTTAAGTTAGCTTTCAATAACATAATGAAGATTATATTGAAATTCAACCAAAATGTTATACTTTAATTCACCTATAAAAAAACTCTAATTCCTGAAAATTTTCTCAATAATAACATTTTTTTAAAAAAAATGAAATTTCTGACTACAACCATCATTGATTATTAATCCTAACATTTACCATATCTTGTTTGTAATAGTCTGAACTACAAACATTATTCAGGGTTTGATTAAACTATTTGTACCTCCTAGGTTTAACCGAAAACAAATCAAAATCTAAAATTCAGACATTTACTGATATGGTCTTAACAACCCTAGGATTTACTGGTTAAATCTAGGTATAACATAGAATTTGAATGTTTAAAGTAATGCACTCATAAATTTCTATAGGTATACATATTATTTTTAGTTGTATATTGCTTGCATTAATAATTTAATAATTTTATTTTATTTTATAAGTCATACTTAACAAAATTAATGGACGATGACATGGCCCGTAAAATCAATGACATTAAAACACCATCTAAAAATGAAGCTGAAATTGAAGAGTATGATAATTCTGTAATGGAAATAAAAAATCAAAGTGTAGGTTTTTTGAATATTTAATAATAAATTAAACTTGTTTAAAAAATAATGAATTATAATTTAAATTTTAGGAAAAGTATGCTGCTGAACTTCATACCATATTTTCCAAGAATGATGACAGGCGTAAGGTAATTGAAATACTGATTATTTGTTATATAGTAATAATAAAATAACATCTAATTACATTGCATGTAAACATTTTTTATTAGAAACGTGAAGTACCAGATTATTTATGTGGTAACATAAGCTATGATATTTTGAGAGATCCTGTTATTACTCCAAGTGGTATAACCTATGACCGCAAAGATTTAGAGGAACACTTAATGGTAAATATTTTATGATTAATTATAAAATTAAACAATTGAAAAATATAAATTTATATTGTAAGTATTTATATTTAAAATAAATATGATATATTATCATAGACTCTAATCACTACTTATCATTTTCTGTATTAACTTTAACTTAATACGTATAATATTATTAAATTTCATCTATAGAAAGTTGGACATTTTGATCCTGTGTCACGCCAGAGTTTGACTGTTGATCAACTTATTCCTAACTTGGCTTTAAAAGAGGCAGTTGAAGCATTCGTTAAGGAAAATGAATGGGTAAACTACTATTGCACTTTGTAAACCTAAAATAAAAAAAAACAAAAATATTTAACCTTAATTACTTTTAAGTACTTTTTATTTCAATTTCTAATACAATGTTTGTATCATTTGTGAACATTTTTTTTAAACCAAAAGATAAATTCTTACTCTTTATCCATTTTAGATTTTATCTCACACATAACTATACTATATTCTGAATTAGAATACATTGGTTTGCGCATGCACATTCACATGCTGCTAGACTCTTGAATCGGTAACCTGCCACTGACTTGAGTTTAAAATTAATAATATCAATTTAATGAATGAATGCACCTTGTTTGTTTAAAGTTAAATGTCTATATAATTTGTTTATAAGTATTTTTTCAAGTAATTATTTTTAATTATAAATTTATTCCTTCTTTTTATTATTATTATTACTATTATTATAATGTTATTATTGGATCTGTAAATCTGATTTTGATGAAGTCTAAGTTAACAATACTTTTTTTAACCTTACAAATTTATTATGTCTGCAAGTCAAAATATAAACTTTATAATTCCTGACCATTTCTATATTTTATATTTATCTTTGTACTATTATATTATATTTTTTTAATAACTGATTTATGTTTCCATAATAATCACTAATTATTTATATTAATTGGCTGATTTCATAGACAAATAATTGTCTAATAGAGTAAGAATGATCTTAAACAATGTATTAATTTTAACTAAATTAAACAATGAATTAATATAATATAATTACAAATTAGGCTTATGTCATTAGAAAAAAAAATATCAACAGATTATTGGGTCTTGAGTTATTATTGAGTTAAATAATAAAATAATAAATAAAATGTTGTCTGTGTTAACTACTGATTAATCACAAATGGTACACTTTTTCTCATTCACTAAATTGATTTATACAGGATGTTGCACGGTAATTGTGTCAAACTTCAGGAGGTATTTCTACCCCTCAAATGCAACAAAAAAATCTTCATAATCACTACAGAATTGTCAATTGTAAGGGAGATACTTTTGTGTTTTTTGGTTGAAGACAAGTTAAATTATTTATAACATTGATATCTATTAAACTGTTCATTGTACAATAAATTTGATACACTGATAAAAAGGTTTTTTAAATTAGCGTTAAGAAAACATATCTTATGAGGTTTCTACCTCATTTTTTGAGTGATAAGAATAACACAAATCTTTTATTAATTCAAAATGTTGAAGTTTTAAAAAATTTCATTCAACTGAAAAAACACAAAAGTCAAAGTATCTCCCTTATTATTGATAATTCAACAATGGTTATGAGGATTTTTTTGTTGCATTTGAGGTGTAGAAATACCTCCTGAAGTTTGACACATTTATCTGTGCAACTCAATAAATGATAATAAATGTATACAATGAGAATTGTTAAAATTAATGTTTTAAGTTATTTGAAAATTGTATACCCATTAATTTTTTATACAGTAGACACCGCTTATTGGGTTGGGCTCATGGTTAATTAACTCATTTGGTTATTGAATTCAAACAGGTTCGTGATTTACACATTACTAACGCATTGAATAATATTTGTCTATTGGACTTATCACATCAGTTAATGGGGTCAATTTTTTTTAACTGTACTTTGAAAAATATAAATTTTTTGCTTGGTGGTCAAAGAAAGTACTAAATTTGACAATTTTTTCAATATTCAAAATACAAAATATTCAAAATGGTTTATTTTAAAAATAATTGATCACTAAATTACCAGATTTTTTCACAAATTACATTTAAAAATATGTAGATCTTTTTATTCTTGAATCTTTCACTTTTACTCGTTCAATTAATGGACTCAAGTGCCCTGATCAGTGATAGTCCAATAAGCGGTCTCTACTGTATTTCATTTCATAATGTAAAAGTACAATTTAAGAAAAAGTTTTAGTTAGAGATGTAATTAAAAATTAGGGTTTGTAACATCTCTAGTTTTAATAAATATGTTTAAACATAGAACATATAAATTTTAAATTGTATATTTTCAGATAATGTATGTTATTTAAATTCTGTAATCAATAATATTATAATATTTTTATTTTATGTAGTTCTTTGCTTGATTTAATGTGTCATTTATATATGTAATATGATTTTAGTTTTGTAATGTTTAAATTTTATGTTATTTTTTATCTGTTTGTATTTGATTTAACCTTGTTAATTATAAAAAAAAAGAAGTCCTAGGATAATGGAGATGGGTGCTGCCACTGTTATAGGTAATGTAATGTATACCTGTAAGCAACATTAAACCATTGCTAATGAAAAAGACAATTCTGACCGTAGTTTAGTTGAGAGTGATACTTTGTCAACAATATATATGTCATATGGTAAAACGATTAAATATCTTAATTATATATTATCTTTAATAATATTTGTTTAATTTTGTATTTATTTTTCAGTTTTTTATGCATTTTTCCCTGGTTTCCTACGGTTTTTCACATTTGCTGGGAAAACAATTAAAAAATCGAAAAATTACCTTCTTAAAGTAACTTCCCAGTTTTTCTCAGTTATTATTAAAACCAATTGAAGAATAACAAAAATGACCATCCTGAACCACAGACATAAAATTTCCTTTCAGAAAATAAGCTACACTTGATGCATAGGAGTAAGATTTCTAGTAGAAAAATGTGCACAACAAATTTAGGGGTATTTTTCGATTAAAATGGTCGAGTGAGCAATAGCTGGGTTTCTAGGTACACCTGAAATGCATTTATTTTTTTTCTGTTAAGATAGAGAAATAAGTATAAAACATTTTTCTCCAAACACGGGTTTGAACTCGTGCACTCTAGGATAACAACAAGTATATATAACCATTCAGCTATAACAAACACATTAAATAAAACACAATATAGAATTATTTAACATAACAAGTAATATCCTCAATATCAGAACTTCAAAAAGCTATAATTTCAAAACTTAGTCCGCTCAATTCTCACTTCACCATAGTTTTTAAATCGGTAATATATGTAGTTCGAAAAAAAAATTCCACACATTTTTTTATTCTAACGGTTTTTGTCAAAACTTCATATTAAGATTCCTGTATAAAAAAAAATACTACATTAAACTTAATTTTTTTTTAAACACTAAGTAATAAGACTCTTAATGAACCTTTTGTTAAATTTTCAAGCATTACTGTTAAGTTTAACAATTTTACCACAGAGTATCTACAGAATAAAAATTACGTACCTACAAAACTCGCAAAGTTAAAATGTCTATAAATAGCTTAAAAATGGCTTAAATTTTTTGAAAACTGTCTACGTCTAGAAATGCAAATATAAATTTTCCATTCAAATTTCAAGGCTCTACGAATATTTTTAACTGAATTAAAATAAATAACAAAATTGAAAACTAATAAAAGCATTATTTTTGTAAATTTTCAGTTTTTCTTAAGTTTTATCCTGGCTTTTCCCAAGTATTATGAAAACCGCTTGCAAAATCAAAAAAATTACTTCCTAAAAGTACTTTCTGGACAATATTATCTTTCAGAAATGGTGCCACGCGTGTATATCTGAGCAAGATTTGTGGTAGAATTTTTGTACACAGTATTAAAAAGAAAAAATAAACATCTTTGTAAAACCAATATATTTTTATTGCTACATTCAGAATCTAAAAATATTATTGCATTTCTAAGAAGAATATTTTTAATTTTATGAGTCATTTTGCCCTGTATTATGGCATTTCTTCAAAATGCTTGTAAGTCCTTATATTCAGCTTTAACAAAGCTACCACTTATGCACTATTATTCACTTTCTTTACTTTTTTATGAATTCTTCATTTTTAGGCACTATTTTAATAAAGTGTTCATTTTATTTACTTTATCACACCCGAAAAACAATTAACTCTCAAACATTTTGTTATACAATTATTAAAACTATCAAGATTGAAAAAAGACACAAGTTTGATTTCCGGTCTGGCTGCTTAATTTTTTGAAATATTTTCAAGACAAGAACGGCCGCGTCCAGGCACCCTAGGCCGCTACCATAGACCTGCCTATGAACCGAATCTTCCTAAAGGTAAGTTATTTCTTTGTAGAATGAAGTTGCATTTTCTCTCGTAATGATTCATTATTATACGTAGTTACCTACTCATTACAGTGTAGTTTCTTAGATCTGTATACATGGTAGTTTGTTTTGTTTTAAATTTAAACGTTATGTTTATGTTTACATTTCCAGAGATTTATCTAGTTAGTGTTTCAAGTTTACGTTTAATATATGTCTATTATGCTGACTAGTTGTACATAATTTAACAATATTTATAAGAAAAATGATTCTAATATAATAATAGTTATATAGTTTATAATTAATAATTAATAGAGTTTGCATTATAATTAAAGCTGGTAAGTTCATACACTTATGCAATTTGAAATATATACATTTATGTGCATTCAAATTCTAAAAATGCTCTTAAAACACTTATACATGTGCCGTGTGCACAAATTAAATTTATTAAAAATTAATTTTCATTTTTTTTTTTTTATAATATTTGTTTATGTCAATTTATTTCCAACCTATACAAAAGTGGGCAATCAGTAAATTTGATAAGGCAACAATAAAAACGGATCCTTTTTATCTGGGTTTTACGGTTAAGTATACATTCCGGCAGCTGTAGCACAGATCTTCAATCAAAGGAGGGAGGGGGTTTAAAAATTGTAATGCACCACGGGTACCACGGTATCTGTGTCTATATCTGTAAAATCCATTAAGTAGGTATTCGATTTTTGTATTTTAGTTAAATTGACAAGCGTAATTGCTAATTAAAAATGTTGTTTATAAGTATTTTATTTATTTCATTTTAGATTCTGAGTGTAGCGAAGAATGTATTGGTTTTACTGAGATGTTTAGGTTTTATATTTTTTATTTTTTTATCCTGTGTACAAAAATTCTACCAGAAATTTTGATTATATGTATACGCGTGACACCGTTTCTGAAATATAATGTTGCCCAGATAGTACTTTTGGGAGGTCATTTTTTGATTTTCTAAGCGGTTTTCATAATACCTGTGAAAAATCAGAATAAAACTTAAGAAAAATGAGAAATTTATGAAAATAATGCTTTTATTAATTTTCAATTTTGTTATTTATTTTAATTCAGTTAAAAATATTCGTAGAGCCTTGAAATTTGAACGGAAAATTTATATTTGCATTTTCTAGACGTGGTAAATTTGTAGCTTGTGACAGATAATATAGTAGCCATTTTAATTTTGTGAGTTTTACACGTAATTTTTATTCGGTAGGTTCTCTGTGGTAAAATTGTTAGACTTAACAGTATTGCTTGAAAATTTAACAACAGGAGGTTCATTAAGAATCTTACTTTTAAATTCTAAACTTTTATCCTAAAATATTTGCACTTATTTTTCTCTTTTACCTAAACAGGGAAAAAACAAATGCATTTTAGGTGTACTTAGAGACCCAGCTATCACTTGCTCGGACTATTTTAATCGACAAATATCCCTCGATTTTTTATGCAAACATTTCTGTCAGAAATCTTGCTCTGAAATATCAAGTTTAGCTAATTTTTTGAAAGAAAATTTTATTTTCATGGTAATTTTTCGATTTTTTAAATAAATGTGATAAACAAAAAAAAAAAAACAAAATAAAGGGAAAATGTACGAAATCTATATATTAGTTGAAATATTGAAATATTTCGGCCTTCATTTGTCCTGTGAACAACTTTTCTATCATCGATTTTGCTTCGATTTATAATAATAGCACTTTTTCTGAAAGGAAATCTGACTAAAAAGGTACTTTAAGGAGATAATTTTTCAAATTTGAAAACATGAGAAAAATGGGAAAATCGATACAATATTAATCAAATATTATTAATGACAATATTTAATGCCTATTTAATTATTTACCATAATATGACATTTTATTGTTTATAAAGCATCACCATTAGCTGAACTGTGCTCAGAATCGTTTTTTTCATTAGCAATGGTTTATCGTTGCTTACAGGTATACATTAAATTACCGATACCAGTGGCTGCAACCATCAATGACGTATTTATATTTACAACATTATTTGTCTGTTATCGTCATACATTCACTAACCTTATGCCCTATATGGCGTCGTTGACATTATTTCACCCGTTTATTTGTGATAATCACAATCAATAACATTATTTTGCTTTTCGTGGGAACATACCTACAATTAATTGCTAATTGCTGACACGTATGGAGTAAGTGTTATTATTTAAATATTAACGCGTTTATCTTGTCTGTCTATTTTTTTTCCCGTTATCTGTGGCTTTACTTTTTTTTTTTTTATTATATTTGGTTAGATATTTATTCAATTATTTATCGGTAATATTTACAACCTATCGCTGTCGATAAAACGATCCGCTTCAATGCGCCCGCAATTAAATAACCCTCATGAAAAGTTAGAAGCACAACCATAATCAAATCATACATCCAACAAATTTGTTGGTATCTTGTTGGACATTTTTGAATCACTTTCCGAATTTTTTGGCAATTATTTTAGCCGATACAACCTTTTTAAAACGTGTGCCGCCATAACTGTATACTGTATACGTTTATAAAAAATACGATGTATACAATATTGTATATAATACAGCCAAATTATTATTTTATATTAGCTTTAGTTTTTGTTTTGCAAATAACGAGAAATCGCCATGGTAAATTGTTTAGATGCCAGTTTTTATATTAACATAGGTAGGTACGTTTGTGTTGACCGATGCGGTTAAGAATTATAATAAAAAACAAATGCCAAATACCATGATTATAAAATGAACTAAAAAATAATTAATAATGGAAAATATCATTGCAAATATTTTCTTGTGTATGTATCATGGTAAAAACAAAACGGAATAAGAGTAATATACGCCTAGGATTTGGGGTAAAGTTCCGTATTGCTAGACCGCAGCCCAACTATAGATATGACCGGACTTTAAAAAGTTCTACTGGCTAAAACGAAGCACGACAAATTCGAGGAATGCTCCAACAAGTTACCAACACAATTTTTCGATGTATTTGATAAGGGTTTGTTATGGTTGTGCTGTCAACTTTATGAGGGCTAGCCCCTAACATATAATTGAATAGGTTATTTCGTAAAGGCCATTCGTCCGTAAAATAAAAATGTTTAGGAAACGTAAAAAACGTTTATTATTATTAATAATAAAAGTAAGAAAAATATAATAAAACTTGATTTTACGATCAAACATAAATTGTAATTTGATAACAGTTAACAGTTATAATTTTAACTGTTATCAACAACAGATGGACAATAAACCAATTGATTTTTTTTTTTTTAAATTTCATATGGCAGAAAAAAAAATCAATTGATAATACAATATTACCGATAAAGATATTTTGGAGAAATGGCCTTTTCGAAATGACTGATTAAATTTACGTAGGTGGGTGCATAGGTATACACAGTGCATACCTTTTATCTATAATTTTATTTCGGTTGAATATTATTTTGTCTACTTGTCAAAAGATATATTATCATGTCTATAATAATATTTTATTATAGTTTTTTTTTTATTATTCTTTTATCGTAATAACACATTTATGGTCTCTAATAATTATGTTATTATTAATAATTACGTTCCCGTTTTTCGACTTATAACAATAGCCTGCCCGACGTTTTCTTTCGCATTAAACGAGAGTTACCTTTTTGTATTCGTCTTCCGCTTCTTTATTATTTCTATGAAATTCTTGACTATTTTGTCTATACAGTCGCCGCGACGGTACGAATCATTTCTCTCCCCAGATGTGTGACGCAGACCGAAGAGGACAGTACACCCATTGGCAGGCGTTTATTGTAATACTACTTTGGAATTTTAACACGGGCCGATAGAAATGTCCGTGGAAAACTATGCTAGCGGCATGGCCGGCAGGACCGTGTCGGCCGCGTTTTCAGACATTTTTGCCGTGACCGTTTCACGTTCGCGTTACTTTGTGGTGTTTGTTTTACGTTTGGTTTTGAACGTGAGTCGAGGGAATTATTAACGCGAACGCGACACACGTGCGATTTTCGGTCGGGGAAATCCCGTGCGGTCTGCGGCACCGACGTGTGCGCGGTACTCGCGGACCGAAGTCGTCGTTCGGAGAATGTCGTTGTACGCCGAACACGCACGCGGTACGTTTTAATAATGTTATAACGGGTATTGCGTACACGCGTCGGAACGAAAAATCGTATTTGCGACGCGTACCCGCTCAATATCGCGGTCTATGCGGGGAAAAAAAAAAAAAAAACGTGACAACGCGTGAATAATAACGCTTATTTATTATTATGTATATAGGTACGTATAATATATTGTATATATTGTATATATTGTATATATTGTATATATGTATATATTGTATATATTGTATATATTGTATATATGTATATATTGTATATATGTATTTAAATTTTATTCGTACGGTTGCTAATGTCCGCGTATAGTCAGACAACGAACGTAAACACAAGTAAATACAACGGGTAAATAATATTATTACGATATGCGAGAAAAATTCTACCGCGGTAATAAATAATCGGGGCTCCCGGTCTAAGGCGCGTCAGCCCCGACCGGTCGAAATTCCATCAAAGTCCGGCTGCGAACACTATGTATAATAATAATAATAGTAATAATAATAATAATAATAATAATAATATTGTTGTTGCGCACGCGGTATTATTACGCTACTGCGGACGCGTCTACGCGTATTTGTACAGTAGGGCCGTACGGTCGTCGAATGGCCGTTGTCGTTTTTCGCGGACCCGCGGCCGAACGTCCGTTCGAGTCGGCACACAATTCGTGTTTGCGCACGAACAGTCCGCGTCGTGTGTTCGTTTGCGGGCCGGTATTGTGCAGCGGTTGCGTGTTCGCTCGGGAATCTCTACCCGGTGCGCAGGTTCACCGGGTTCAGGACCAGCTCTTGCTGCCGCGGCGGCGGCGGCGGCGTTCGGTGGTCGTCGGCGGGAGACGCGTTGTTCAGCTCCTCGAACGATTTCACCATCATTTTGGTGGCGACGTTCAGCGAGTCCTCGAACGTCAGCGTCGACTTGAGGTTCGACAGGTTTCTGTTGGAGCTCACCTCGTCCTTGGTGTACAGGTGATCGTCCTGTTCGATCAGGTGTTCCATGCTGCTGTCCAAACTGGCTTCCGGCGTGGCTTTCGGCATCGTTTTGGTCTGCGAAACGAACAGCGCGCGTAATTGAATATCAGGCGCGTGTACAAGAGGATTTTAAGGGTTCAATCTCCCCCCCCTTCCCTTCAATAAATTCACGAAAATTACGACGAAAGCAGAATTTTAATATAAAGTCTCAAAAGTGGTTTCTGTTAAATGAGAAAGATAAATACCGTTTTGGTTTTATTTTACTACTAGATAGTAGGTATACTATTGTAATTTCTGATTTTTGTGGTTTTCTGGCTTTTAGAAAATTATAACTGGTACGGCGATATTATCATCACGATAATATGAATAACGTTACCATTTATAGGCTATATTCACTAAAAAAAAAATATGCATAAAATAAGTATTGTACATATTTAAAAGGTTAAAAATGAATGTTATAAAATATTTACATTTTTAATGAAAAATAAATAATCATACAATTGAAAGTATGTTGTAAACTTCTTTGTTATAACTTATAAGAGTATGAAAGTGTTCAACCTTAATCCCCCCCCCCCGGAATATTTGTTTGCAAACACACTTGTAGTATATATAGGTGTATATCCGAGTATCAATGATTCTCTGAAATATTCATATATTAACTGCACTCTAACGGAGAAGATTGAATTGAATTACAGACTTCGGAAAACCGTCTATTCGAAGGTCAAAATGCACGAACGAAGCATGAATTCAGTTCATATATTTTGCGGTTTGAATCAACTCTTTTGAAACTAATAGTTCATATTATCTTTAACGATCCCGAACTTTTAATAGGGTCGTTTTTTTAAATTTAGAGTATTCATATTGCAGTCTCCAGGTTTTACATTGAGAATTTAGAATGATAATTTGAGAAATTATTTTGTTAGAATACAGAGATGGCAAATTCTTCTGTGAAGATTATTTAAAACTAGTACATACATGTACTTCCTTACCTGTGATATTTAATCAAATCACTAACTCTACGCAAGCACGTATATTTAAATACTTGCAATATAAATTTGAAACACTTGCGTTTTTTTTTATTTAGCGATTGTTATATGCTCAAATATCTCAAATATTTGGGGGGAGGGTCGAACATCCCATAATATTGATATTGTGTAGTTTTCACTTGATGAGAACTTAATGTGAGGAGAATTGGCCGAGTTTCGGGGGGCTGATCTCAAGCCTTCCCCCCGTATTTGCGCCCATGGCGACTGTATTCTGATTGATTTGTGATGGTTATTTATACATTACTAAATGTATATTATTATAGCTATGGGTATATATCAAAAGCGTAGGGAAATTGACGCTCCCATCGTCCAGCACAATTTGTGCAGCAACGGCTATAGTAGGATGACGGCTATCCTCATGACCTCAGCTGGTTAGGGGGATTCGGTCCTCCGGATTGGGGGTTTGGCGACGGGCTAACGACCCGTCCTATTAAAAAACCGTTGTTAAGGAACCTACTATTACTACTACTAAGTATTAAGAGATAAATGGGGGAATGTAGTAGAGGCGGCGAAAGTCTTTCGAGGACCGTAAAAGCTCAAGGAGATGTTTTATTATTTAGGTTTGTGCACTATGCATGGACACGGTGGCGTTTACCTGCGCTTGGTCAATCGCTTGTAACTTCCGGTGTTCCGCCATCACCGTAGACACCCGTTTCAGCGCCGGTTTCAATACGTTCATCTGCATAACCTCGGCGTCGGCTACGCTGCGGGCGCCCGGCGGTCCGACAGTGGAGCCCCCGGCCACGTCGTCTGGATGCCGGTGATTCCGGAACGGCATGTACTTGTAGAATTCGGCCATTTTGTTAGCGGTACTACCGCCGCCGACGCCGCCGCCGTGTTTGTGCCGGCGCCGCTTGAACAGGCAGAACGTCGGCGGACAGAAACACAGCATTATGCGGATCGCGCAACAGCACACGCCGATCGCTATCATGCCGGGCCCGATGAACCGGAGCTGAACCGTCTTGAAGCCCTTCTCGCCGGTGCCCACGAACGCTATGATCAGGCCCAGGGCCACCGAGCACAGGCCCACGTACAGCAGCGTGTTGGCCGCGGCGCCCTGCTGAAGCTCGAACAGTCGCCGGTCGGAGCCCTCGCCGCCCGCGAACGACAGCGCGTCATGAATCTGTTTTCGGAAACAAACACACACGCACACACACACACCATCACCGTCATATTATTATTATTATTATTATTATTGTTATTATCATCATAATCGTTATCATAATCATGGTCATCGTGGTCGTCGGTCGCGTACCGCGGGTGGCGCACACCGCGAGTTATGAAATATATTATAATATCGAGTCATATTAACATACGATGAGCGATGACGCTGCTACCTAATTTTCAACGAATGTAATACACCTACGTATGTTAGGCTCACTACGGTACGTATAATACGTTTATTTCTAAATAATATTATGCAGGTGCGTACAATGTTAATTTGTAAAGCGATTAAAAAATATTAAATATAATAGTAATAATATAATATAATATACTGTGTTAAAACCAACGAAAGACGATGCGACGAGAAAATCTGTCGATTAACCGCCTACGACAGTAATACGCCCCTCGATGTTTAAAACGTCTAAAATACAAACAATAGTGTACGGTATGTCGTGTAATTAATGTTTTTATAATTAGAATAAAATGCGGATCGGTAGGACCGCGCGGCGAAACGAGCCATAATGTTCAGCCGTCCGATATCGATCACGGGAGGATACGGATCGGCGGAAATCCCGGGGGGAAAGGGGGGTTTTGGGGTTGTGAGCCAACTCGAAACGTACACGCGGAGCGTAACCGGTATAATTTTAGCGATTCAAGAGGGGGACCGGTTTCTCCGTTTATACGTTTCGAGCGGGTTTACACTCCATTTTAAAACTCCCCCGCACAATTTTCGTCAATTTCGGGTCGTCGCGATGGTTTTGGATACCCCGGGTGTGGCGAATACAGGCTATAATAGCAATGATGGATTTCCACAGACGAAAAAAAACCTGTGGGGGAGGGGTGGGGCATAATTCTTTTGACACTACTTACCTTACACGTTTATACTATTTATAAAAAGCGTAGACTAAAAATTATCAACACAATTAAATATAAGTTTAAGTGTAAACAATTTCGCTAACATAAAACAATTCGATATGAATAACATGTATTGCGGGTTAGAGTGGGATCATTACAGCCGATTGTTTGTTATCAGTCTTGCTGTTATTTCTACAATCAAAACTGATGTACACGTTATAAAATTCGGTAGGTATACACATTTGTTATTCAGGGGACACACTATTCTAGGCCCTGGTATACGAGTTTTTCATTTACGCTTTTCGGCCAGTAAACAGTTATAAACATGCTTCGGTTTTTTCATGCAGTACCACCAATGAGGCCGACATTTTCTCGCAGCCCGCGGCCGGTACTTCATATCCGAAACGTTTTTCTTTCTCCCGTGAAAATTCCTTTCGGTTTCCGGTTTCTCCCGATAACGGGGACAAAACCGAAGGACAACACCGTCTTTTTAACACGACGACGAGTTTACCGACAGATCCGTCTAAATGGTACCGACTTATCGGTGTCTATACATATACGAATTAAATCCTTAACGCCGACACCTACGCAAAATTTCACCTACAACAGCCGCCTATTATTATCTTGGTGACACACAACGCGAAGTAGGGATTATAAACTTAAACCCGCGGTGAAAACCGATAATCGTTTTTATATTATATTATATTGAAAAAGCTGAAAGCTTTTCAAATTTAGTAACTCGTTACCGCGGTAATCGAAATAATTATTAAGCAAGTGAATAATTAAGCGCATCGTTCGTTTTTAAAGAACCATTTTGTAATCGAAACCTATTCTCGATTAAGAAAGAAAACGGTTTTTTTTGTTTTTTGTTTGTTTGTCCCCTGCGTCGAATGACGCGTAATATAATGATTCGATTTAATTTAATCGTCCAAATATTTTATAGTGTTTTCGTATTATTTTCTTTTTCGCTTTTTTTCCTTTTAAATCCGAGTTGACAAATTATACAGCTATTTGTTTCATTTGTTGAAACTGCGGTTCTCATAGAATAACCGAATACCGATATTTTTGTGAGCGATTTTAAGCCTTTGTGCGCAGTATCTATATCGACTTTTTATTATTACGATTTTATAATTTGTTTCTGTGTCTAGCGTTCGCTATGCGATAATCATTATTCACGAAGTTTCTTGTCTACTGTATATTTGTATGCACGGAAATTATTTAATCAGTGTTCTTTGAGTGCCATTTTCAGAACTTGTAATTACATAGTCGGGAAGTTAAGGGGAGTATTATTATTATGGACTTTAGAAGCGCGTATTATACGTATACAAATATTCAACGGTTTAAAAAATGTCACGTGAGAACCTTTTATTGTATTTTTACAGGCTTTTCCAAAGATAAACCACACATTGAAGTCCGCGAAAAATACATTTTTCATCCTTCGGTTTAATATTTATCGATTAAGTATCATAAATTCTTTTTTTTTTTTACCTTACAATTGTGTAGTATGATGGCGATTCTCACAAGACACCTTTAAATTGAATTTCACCGAAATTGATGGAAAAAATGGCGGAGTTATGTGACATGTATACGGACGGACAGATGGACATAATGAAATTATAATAAGGTTTCCGTACAGTGTTTGCCATTCTGGCTATGTAATTCCAAAAAACCCGCGGAATTACAAATCCGTACAAAACAAGTTTTCCCTTAATTTTTTTTCCGAGGGATAATGAATTACCGTCTCGTTAGTTATTTCGGTATATTACAAAATGTCAAACTGCATGTTATACTATATAAACAAATAGTATAGCAGGGCTTACAAATGCGGATATTATTAAACGTTATTATTTTATTTAACGAAAAACAAAATCACGAATTATTGTGAGTATGTATGGAAACCCACTCTATCACACTATGTAGATAGAATATCCTGTGTCTTATAAATAATCCATTACGTCGATTTTATCAAATATTATATTATATTAATATTATATACAGTAAATGCATAATTTATTAAGTTTTTTCCCGATATTTTCTTGTTAGGAGTATTACTTTGTGCCTGTGTTTTTTTTTTTTTTTGTAATACATATACTTCGAGTTCAATTTGGCTTGAATTTGTAAAGGGGAATATAAATGTAAATTGTGCATAAGAAATTATTCTAAAAAAATAGGTCAAACTACAACGATAATAATAATAATATATATTGTGGTCTCGAATTCCGGTGTCATCTGGGAGAATTCGTCATTTGCTTAAACGATTTCCTATAATGCAGATACGTATACCTATTATATTATATATTTCGTATTTTATGGTAATGAAATATTTTAAATATCGTATCGAAATGAGTCTTGAGCAATTTAAAGTGTCCCCTCCCCTCCTTACGTGAGGTTATACCGAAAACATATCTTTGGTCTCAAGAAAAAAATGCTTAAGTCAATTGTGTATAGTACAAGCATATGTAAGCCTGCCTGTACAGTCTATACAAGCAAATTAAGTTGTTATGGCTCATAGCTCATTTTAAAAAGTACATACACTTATGCCGTTTAGATAAAAAATAAAGAGAAACAATTTCGTAAGAAAATGTATTAAAAAAAAAATGATTATAAAAATTAACCTATATTTCCCAGAGACCGAATAAGGTTTACAACTTGACAATAGTTTACCGACAATAATTATTTTATGGTTTCCGTTAAAATTAAAACTCAATTACATTTTATCACAGTTTAACTATTTTTGTTTTGCATTTACGACGAATTGAAACTCATAAAATATTTAATAATAACTGTAAGATACTTTTTTCCCGATGTATATAACAATAGCAATAATTATATTTTTAAATGTAATTTAGATTGTATTACCGTATCCATGATAATGTGCGGACTCTAGTTAAATCGAAGGAGGTTTTTTTCACTTAATACACGCGCCACGCCATTTCATTTCATTCACCGAAACCCAAAAGTTTAACATTATTGAATTGTGTGTATAAGGTGCGTCATACTTATTACACAATAATGACATTTAAGGAAAACAAAATAATAACTTGTTCAATAATTTCTATTCCATTTGCCAGATGACTGTAAGATGTGATCAAATAAAATTCTATACAATTGACTGTAATTAATACAAAATGATTTCAGAATAATAATAATGAAAAAAATATCTATACAAATTTAAACCGAAGTTCCCAATCCGCAAAGGCTAATAACCAGGGTTCGAAATATGTAACTTGGTTTTTCGGATCGGTATTAAATGTAGCAGAGTGCTTTTGTGGACATTTATGTTTTTACGAGTTTAACTATTAAATTTAAAAGTGCATTTTTTATTATAGTTTTGAAAAAAAACCTTTTTACTAGTTTTTATGTTTTTATTTTTACGCATTTTCCATTCTTATTTATTGCTATATTTTATATTTAATTTGTGATTACGTGAGCCACTGACAATAATCCAGATTTGTCATCTCTATGATTTTTAAATAATTTCGCCTTTGTAGTGTCCAACTGGTATTTTTCAACTGGTTATTATTTTATAATAATTATCTTTAAGTTATCGCTAGGGGTGATAAAAATCTGAATATAGTTTTGAACAAATTCAATAGTTCTAATAATATAAATTGGAAACGGTTTTTTTTTTCTGCTACATAAATATTTTTCCGCTTTTTTTATTTTTGGACGGTTTTAAGTGCTATACGTCTCGAATATCTATATCGATAGAATTCCATTTATATGAAAATCTATCGTTATGAGGAGAAACTCTGCAGAGGTTGTCGTGTAGAACAACTCGTGGTCGACGCATAGTCGTTTGAACGGATGAGAGGACGCGTTCAATTCTCAAATTTTTGTCATCCCGGCAGACGACATCGGCTCATGCGGCGACGGTGGTATTTTAATACATCAGCAGTGTTAATATAATAATCGTGTTTCAGAGATGAGAGCGGTAACGTATTTTACGGCTGAGACGTAGCGCGAATGGCCTGTAATATTTCGCAGCGGGCAGAGGATATGGTCGCAATGTCGCCATTTCATCCGAGCGATTCAAACCACGCGGGCAACTTAAAACGGTTCGGGCTGTTATAGCCGAGTTTCACGGTTTCATGAGCTCTGAGTTTTAATATCGAACCGAGAAACGCGAGATCCATACAACATTACACCGCCGCCGAAATATCGTAGACACTCATAATCCACTATAATTGGATATAATATTCGGCTGAATTGCCGACCACCGTGGGCACCGAATGATTCTCTTTCCCGTATAGTAAATTCATATTATTATTATTATTATTATTATTGTAGGGACGTACATACTTACAGTGCGGTTCACGAAATTAGAGTGAAACTCGACTGAAGCATGACCGGGGGCCAAACATTTGAGTTTCAGTCTTGTTCAAACGTCAGATGAACTCGTCAGTTGATGCAACAAGCGACAGTGCAACCGAGCGAGTATATGCTGAGAAGCTCTAATACTGGTTTTCGGCCGCCAGCCGCGCCCCAGTCGAGTATTTAATTTCGTGAAACGCACTGTATATTCGGCGTACATTGTAACATGATATTCATTGTGGGAAACGATTTATTTTTTAATATCGTTCGAATTCTATACCAATCCACTTGATAATATTTGAGACACTGTAAGTCTATAAATTATATATATCGTTTCCCAGATGGCTCTTCGTTTAACGTGGTCTACGCGGAGTAGCGGTTGTGGCGGAACCGAACAATAGAAGTTTTTTTTTCGTTTACTAACCTATATTATAATAACAATGCAACTACAATCAGCATGGTTATATTATTAGAGTTCAACAATGACAACGTGATAAATGATCAACCGAGTATAGTAACTTAATATCCAATCGGTAAATAAATTATGCGTCTTATGTTACCTGTGTGTATTTCTTTTGTTTATGAATCCTAGCTAGTTTCTATCAGCAGTGAGTAGGTTCCTATTTTTACTTAACAAACGACGGAGAGAAATCGCAAAAAAAAAAAATCCTTACTAATTTTAGGTTTTTTCACTTTTACAGTCTTAGAGGCTCTTCGGAAACTAACTACAGTGGATCCTATAAAAACTGGTATTGTAAAGCCTACAATGTAAAATCCTATAGAAACGTACAAATCTGGAATATAAAATGTTTGAATTTTGACGAAATTATTGTTAACGATAGTTGATAACTATAAATTCTAATACGAATTTGTATTTTCCAATTTTTGACTTTTAATCTTGTACATTCCACAATCCACATTGTTACACTTGTACATTTAAAGGTTTTAAGTGCCCCCGTTTTTACGGATACCGAAATCTGAAACGTACAAACACCTGGAATGTGTAAGTCAGGAAAACACAAATCTGAAATTAAGGGTTTTACGGATATCGAAATGTGAACCGTATTCACTGTAATTTTCGGATTTGTAAGTTCCGGAATAGTAACTTTCCATATGGTTTCATCCGCTTCCCGAACAAAAATAATGTTATGAAAGTAGTGGTTCCGAGTCAATTATTCTGTCGTCGATGTCGTTCAAAATATATGTGTGTAACGAATGTCCGTCAATATTATAAGCCGCATAATATTCGCGTTCCTTGACCTCTCACCGTATGCAAACACGAGTGTCCGCACACGCTTTTGTTTGTCAGACGTTATAGTTTCGGAAAACCTATTGATAATTTTGTGTGTAGAAATAAAAAAAGTCTGTAGATACCTACGCACACGACCGAAAAAAATACGCTGGACGGCATTCGAAACGTTTGTGTGAGGTTTTTTGTTTAATTTTGTAATTATTAAATATACTCACGGATTCCGTTTTGACAATGTGTACTGTAACTGTAATAATCACGACAAGATTAAAATTATACTACAAACAAAACATAGCGTTAAACGTTGAATATTTAATTAAAATTATGATTTGTGTATTTCGCTATATAGATATTGTCGTTTATGTGTTGTGTGTGTGTGTGTGTGTGTGTGTGTGTGTGTATGTTTGTACGTGTGTGTATGCCACATACTATCCAATAAACTATTCACGTTGTTAAAATAATTCGTCATAAGTTTAATTTTGTTTAACAAACATCAACCTCGAGATTACTTTATTCTCTCGAATATTGCATAATAATGTAGGAACGCATATAAATTTACAATCTTTAGTTATTTGATGGTTTATTCTAAACTGAATTTACACCCATTAAGATTAAGTATATATGGTTCACATTTTTTGGATGTTAATTTTGAGTGGAAGTATAACGGAAATCTGATCGTTTTACATTTTTATGTTCGATAAATGATTTTTCGGATGTTTCCCTAGACGTTGGACTCCTTGCAAAAGTTAAAAAAAAAACGACGATGGGAGAATTTGTAAGCATACATCTATTAAAGTGGAATGGCCTTCAATCCTACGCAGAGTAGATAGAAATTATTTTCTAGGTAGGCCAGATAAAATAGTATACATTTTTGAATATGAAAGACTTATACAGATTGTGTTAATTTTCGGATAAAAGTGGGTAGGCCCGGGCCTACCAGGCCTACTCGTTGGCTACGCCATTGATCCTACGCACATAATATTATTTAGATTATTTTTCATGATGTAACGTTAAACAATTAAAAAATTATTAATCTGGTATTAAATTAATAAATATGTATCGGAATTATCAGAAAAATATTTAAATTAAAAAAATTAAAAAAATTAAAAATCATTTATAGTCGTAATTTTAAATTTCATTTTTTTTTTTTTTTTTTTTTTTTTTATCATAAGTAGCCGAGCAATGAAAAGTTTCTACACAAAATATGTACGTTGGTATATTTATGCAATTTGTCAAAATAAATACATAAGTATTCGGATTAATTGTGGAAAAAAAAAACAATTTTAAAACTCAAACGCAATATCGGTACTTATATTATTGTAATTTATATTCGCGCCCTGATTAATTTTCAAGTTAAGTGTGTTGTTGATTCGGGTTTTTTTATTTTCGTTTCAAGCGATTCGATATTGTTCGGGTTACGTTTTAAATGCGTTAAACTATACAACGGGTATTATTTGTGTGGAGTAAACGAGTATTCGACTAAAAGCGTTCAATGAACACACGCCGCGGCAAATAAATAAATTCGAACAATATTATTTTTGTGGATTTGTACACTATTCGTGAATATAATGCATATTAATACGGCCGGATATGGAAAAAATAAAAATAAAAGAAAAACAACAACACCGCACGCGCACGCTAAGTAAACAGGTTGTTTTTACGGTGCACCGACTATATATTATATAGCATAGTACAATGCATATTTAATCAAATAAAGGCGAATAGTCGTATAGGATATTGCGCCTTGTGTAGGCACATTCAATACGGTTTTAATATATTTAGCCGCATATATTCGTATGAAAGTACGGTTATATTTTTTTTTTTTTACACTCGCAGGCATACGGGCAGTGTAATATAATACGATTACTGTTTTTATTGGTATACCTATAATTTGCCCGGCGCGAGGAAGGCGTACACAATATTACAAACCGCGTCGTGTTATTATATTTCTCGAATTTTCACCTACCCACGTAATTTGATTAAAGCGGTTGTTTTTTTTTTTTTTTAGATTTCGAGCGGGATAAGAGAACATAACATTTCGTTTGTCACCGGCCGGCAATTCCTGTTCGCCTCGACTCTAAACCGGCAACTGTTCGGTACAAATGCAATAAACGTATTCGTCGCAAAACCCCTAGCGCGGAAATTACTTTTTCTTCCACGCGATAATTTCATTTAATTTAACGCTATTTAACATTCCGTAAAACCGGCAAAAACTACATTTTTATATAGAGTTTACAATTAGAAATCGATTCTATAATGAACAACAATCTATTACAATATAATCTCTAACGTTATAATGTACAGCGTTCGGATTTTATGTAGTCCACACACGCGGTTTTCCGGACTGTGTGTGGTTTTTCGTCAATTCAATATTACCTACAGAGTTTACCGCAATGTTATCGGTAGGTACCGCGGTCGGATAACCGTGGCGGGTACATATTATAACATAATAGTTTTTATGGTTTTCGGTTCACAGACCGAGCGATCGCGGCCGTAAACGATTGATGAAATTTTACGTCTCGCGATATCGCGTCGCGCCGTTCGTAATATTTTCGAACGGGGATTTAAACATCCCAGGGATGAGAAAAAAAAAGATAGAAATTTAGATAGTAATAAATAGTAACGAGATCGACGCTTACCTTGTTTTTCTTCGTCCACTTCCTGTGCGGGTCACTCGGCAGGTGTATGAGTATGGAACCAGGCGCCGTGCCATCGCTGTCCGGAGACGGTCCGACCGGTCCTGGCCAAGCGACCGACGACGCCGTCCCCGCCGCCGCCGCCTTGTTCTGAAAATCGCACACGCGGTTTTTATTATACCGTATACTGGCCGTTGGCGGTTTTGCCGTTTCGGTCGCGTCAAGTTTGATAAAGAAACAAAAAAAAAAAAGAAAAAATAAAAAATATCCGCGTCGACGGTGGTGGCACGCGTATAGAATATACATAATATTATCGTAATCGCACCCGAAAATTTACAATATAACCGTAGCATCGTATAAGATAAATAGTGATTGATATACGCAATAGTATATAGCCGAGTCTTCGATACAATATATTGTAAACAAACATCAGTTCTGGAGAGCATCGCGTGTTTCGTGTTGTGATACAGAAGTCAATGTACGTATGTCTAGATACCGGCCAGCTAGACTCTCGTTTTGAAGCGTCTTGCTCGTTGGCGCCCGAAACAGTGGCCAGCTGGGTCATTTACCCCGGTAGGTTTTTCGAAAAATACATTATAATAATTGAAACTGTTGGGAATTTCGAAATGTGTTTCAAATAAAACAATATTTAGATACTAAAAATCGATGTATCCATATAGTTTCTACTACACGGATAGAGGGGGGCTTGAGCGATCCCTTCATCAAGTAACTACTAAGTATATGTATATAGTCAATATTATGGGATGTCGGGCACCCCAACATATTTGGGCTATTTGCGCCTATGACAGCCGGACACCCTTTTCTGACGCTAAAAATACCAAATTTACCCATTTCAAAAAATGTTATACCCAATTCTTTGTGTAAAATAATTTGACGATCATCACGTAATAAAATACAAACATACTAAGAAGTTATTATATAGTTTTCTTGATTTTAATTTCTGACTTTAGTTCTAACTTTAATTTTAAATTATCGTTGAATTGCCGAATCTGTGGTTAAAATTTCCTCCTATGTCACCCCCTCAATATTCGGTCCTGTGAATATTATTTTTCATCGTGTTGTGATTTTTGTTCATTGATTTTTTTTTTTTTACCGGGATTTTACTTACTAGGTACTTAATAATATGGAAATAAGCACTATAATACGGTATTTTAACGAAATAGAAAACGTTCGTAAAATAATTTATTCAATCTGGCCAAAATTCAATATTTTGCAAGATGTCGAAATTTCAATAGCTGTCGGCTGTCAGAATTTTCGATGTCACAGCCCATTAATATAATAACATCTATCAGATAAGGAAAAGTAAAAAAAAAATACTCATAATACATATTAAACGTTCTTTATATAGCTCGTCTCGTGGGAATAATTAACCGTGATGTAGAAAATTAGTGAATTTTATAAATAGAAAATGAAAAAAATCGTATTGTGGCACTATGACTAATTATAATTCACGATCGAAACTTACGGAAATATGTATTTTTATTTGTGAAAAAATTAAAACTGATAATTACTGATAAATCACGAGTCATAACCTAATTATATTATCTTCCTTTCTTTTTTTTTTAGTCCTTCAATTATTACTTAATCGCAATGCGGATTACAAAGTAATAAACTTTATGATTTGCTTTCAACATATGACACGATTCTTAACCTAGTAATAAGATTCTTTACATTTTTAAATCGTTCAAGAAATAGTAATATTTGTTTGGGCTTGTCATGCGTACATCATTTGTGCATCATTATTGTTCTTTTCGACCTAATTAATTGTAAGACATTTTGCGCACCGTTGAAGCGTAAACGATGACCGTCGTTTTGTGTACGGTCCTCGTGAAAATATGTCATCATCATAGGAGTATAATAATCAAACTAGAAAGTTTTAACAACACACATTTTATGTAACATCCGTGATTAAAACAAAGGATGGTAATTCAGAGACTGTGCCGGGATATACATCTTTTATCAATTAGGTATTTTTAAATCTTCACAATAAAGCACAGCGGTATGAAAAAAAAAAAAACCCGTATTTATTTTTGTCATTTTCGGTAATTTATTTTATATTTTTTTGTTGACGCGACGAAATGAACGGAATTAAAAATGTATTTAACCGACCCCATGGGATCGATTCGTATTGTACGTACCTATATTTCATTCGCATTATTCTACAATATTTGCATTACAAAATAGTCGATTATTTGTCCTCGTCTTTACTCTATATTCCATTTTATAATTTATTTATTCGGGACTTTCAATCAAAAACAGTTGTTATTTATTTGTATAATAATGAACAATGATTAAATTCTGGGGAAAATGCGATTAAAATTTGAAATTGATAATACAACGGAAAAAGAAAAGCGGAACGGCATACAATAAAATATTTTCAAAGAGCTCTAACTTAATAATATTAATTTTAATATTTCGTGTTTGTTTTTCGGGGTTGTATGCTTGAGAGTCGTATATTCCGTCAAACAATAACACGGCCAGTATATTCTTAAGATATCGAGTAGTAATCGGTTTTAATTGATTGGCCGTTAAAACGTAATCGAATAAAAAATATCATGCGCGCGTGGAAGATTATAAATAATAAACCACGGCGAGGTTCATGCATGTACGCCATTATTATAATATCACAGATGACTTTTTTTTTTTTTATTTCAGTCTATATTTAAAAAAAAAAAAAAAATATAATATGTAAATCGGATAAATATAAGAGTTTACGACATGGGGTTCACATGACGGGAGAAAATATCCACTGATATTATTCTGCTGCAGTTATACACAATAAGTAATAGTTAACATTATCTAGGTAGTAACCAGAGTTCAAGTTTATAGACCACTATCGTATATCATTTTTTTTTTTTTAAGATAAAAGATCTCTGAACCAATTTCTGTTCGGCCTATGCGTTGTATCAGGAAGCTCGATAGAGGATAGAATTGCAATGAAGGGATTTGAATGATGTTGAAGTTTTTTATGAAATCACTTATTAATTTAAAAGCTTGGTGAGAGATGGATGTTATGTTTAGATCATCATGTAGGGTTTGATTACTTACATACTTCATGGGGTATTGGTTATTGTTCTCAGTGATATTGACCGTATTTTTTTCAAATTGTGGTAAAATTACGTATCCAGTAATTATATAATAATAATACAAATATTGAACGCCGAACATGTAAATCCCGTTTGTGGGCCACGTAAGTTTCTTTTTTTTTTTTTACAAAATCGTTTCCGAGGAAATCCGCTACTACGCACGTGTCGAAGTTAAATGTTCTACCGTTTACCTAACTGTATATTATTTACATGTTTTTGGAAAGGACGGTTTTCATTGAGTTGCATATAATACAATAGCTTCACGAAACCTCGAAAACAAAAAGAGTCGACAAGTGTTTTAAAAACATACATTATCCGGCCTTTGAGCGCCCTAAACAAGAGAATGACGAAAATAACGTAATCCTCATGATTCGTGATTGTTTCCAATACGTGTAATTAAAATTAAAACACGTTGCCATGACTGATTAAAATGTTGGTCGGGTACTCGGATGGTGTGAGGGGGCATACTGTACGGCCGTATAGAGGATTTACAAACGCTATCCGAGTTCGGACTAATCCGAAACGTAATTTAGTTGGTTTTAAAAGTTTTTAGAGGTTTCATAGGAGTTTTACAAAATATAACCTGCTGTTTTCTATCCAAATCCAATACTGCGCCGGACATTGAAGGATTCAGACCTTAATTTGTTTGAGGGAGGAGTGGTAGAGCAAACTCATTTACAGTAATGAAACTTGGTACTAAAATACAGGAAAAAAGCATACCGTACTACAATTTTTGGGTATTGAAGCAAATGATCCTATTACCTACCCCCCTGAATCTGCCACCGGTTCCTAGGAAATTAGCGTCCTAAGTTTATACCTAAAACCTAGGTCCTATCGATGAAGAACCACGACGGGTTTGGTATTAGCATACCGCTTGGGGGCTTGGGCCGAATTCGGATAATGTCTGTAAATATGCAGCCACGTGTAAAAGAGAAAAATTGCAAAAAACCGTGAAAACCTCCGAAGGTTTCGATAAAATTAATAACACAGAAAACATACTTTTTCGGCGGAGGAAAAAAACCGACGTGGAAAGCTATGACTCGTGGTATGCAACCAAGATGGTGTTATCGCCTGAATATACCTAATATTATTATACGGGACCTGGGTCAATTGACCGGTAGGACAATCGATCGACACGGAAATTTATTCTTAGTCGGTCGAGTGCCCGTATCAGTATTTTGGATGTCAGTCGATTGTCTATCTACTTATTATAAGTACCAGTGGTGTAATTGGAGATAGACCATCAGCGAGATCAATATGTTGTCATAAGAACACACATGTTTGAACATTTTTTAAAAATACCTAATATAAAAGGTACTTTATTTCGAAAAAAAAACATAATAAAACGTTTACTTTTCTTGGTTTTATAGCTAATTCATTTAAAGAACATAATTTAACATCTACGAGTATTCTATCGTATTAACACGCTTTTATGAAACGCCAAAATTGCCAATCCATTTAATCGATTCTATTATTTTTTGTCTCTGACCATACTATATTATTATGATGTATATAATTGTTACGGTTAATATTGTAAAATCGGTTAATGTTATATTTATACTTTTGTATATAAAACCGATTTTATGCATATAAATCGTTTATAAATAAAAGAGCATTGTTTGTTTTTGTACGTTAGTTTTTTTCAATATTTCAATTATATTATTATTTATTATAATATAATTTAAGATTAAAGTAATAAATTAACAGTGATTATTTTAAAACTATAGTAGTACTAAAAATAAAGAAATCAAGGAAGAGTAAGTGGCTGATCCAAAGTTGAATTTTGGGAGGGCTCCTGAAAAACATAATTACTAAGTGAAAAAAAAAGAGGTGATACTGAGGATGGATTCAGCCACTGTTATAGGCGGGAAGTTGAGAAGGTAGGACACGTAATGTTATTTAATTTATATATGTAATCACCGATAAACCATTGCTGATGTTTTAATTGGAGTAAGATTTTTGATAGACAATTTGTTCATAGTACAATACAATACATTCATCGCTCCTCTCTGCTTTTCTTCCTTGAATGTTGTATTTTATAAACATGTGTTAAACAATTAATTATTTGTGGAAATAAATCGTTTGTATAGTTATAGTCCGGGGTCCTTGGGTCCCCCTGGATCCGTCACTGGGAAGAATTGTAAACCCAGACCCTCGTGATATTACTCTACTGATAAGAACCTATTGTAATATCGTGGTCGATTCGATATAATATTACATAGTTTTAAAAATAAGTATTATAATATGCACGTGCGGACCGAATATTGTATATTTTAATTTTATACCGGTAGGTGTGGAAGTGACATAATTTTCGAGTGTTGCCGGAACACGACCCGAGTGGAGAGGGGCCGAATATATAATAACAATAATTACGGTAATGATAATAGTGGTTGTCACGGTGGCCATTTCGTCGTTCTACAAAAACCCTCGACGCGTGTTACCGTACATTTATTAATTATTGTAGTTATAGTCGAGTATAAACGTCGAATTCGATTTGTGTCTAATACTCTATACGGGGTATGTGTAATATAGAGGATATCGGATCATCAGTGACGGATTTACGAGGCGGGGGGGGGCTGTCTCCGTGGTTTGGGCCTCCTGTGTTGTAGTCTTTCAAAAAGCTGTTTTAAATATATGGATTGAAAACGATAATAGACAATGATGGATCGCGATATGGTTTTTTGAAAACCTTGTTGGTTTCGACGAACGGGTGGGTTTTTGAAATGCCTACAGTTTCGGAAATCATATCATTGTGTAATACTTTTTATTATTATTTCCGTAATTAATCAGGTAATAATGTTATCGAAACACTTTTAGATACCCAGAACTTATCCACAAGAATAAAAATAAATCCATGCAAAGCCGAATTATTCGATCTCGCTTTTGTTGTTTTAGGGCCGGCGGGTAAAGCAGAAAAATTATAATGACACTTCGGGAAGCGTGTATGTATGTATACGTACCCACGATGGTGGGAATTTCGGAAATGGGGCGATGTTCTTGGTGGCCACGTGACTGGGCAACTGGAACCTATCCCTGCGGATTTTCTTTACGCGGATCTTCTGCCTCTCTCGTATGTAAAGTGCGGCTTGCATACCGGAGCTGGCCATCACTGGTGCTCATGGTCTGGAAACACTTTCCACCGCGCTCCGCCAGACATTTCCGGCGGGGTCGCCATGTCCGTCGACGTTGCCGCTGCCACCTCCATCGCCGTTATCATCACCACGGCCGCCGAAGGTTCGAAATCGACGTTTTTCTTCCAGGACATGGTGGCGCCGTCTAACCCAGGGTCAGCTTCAGGTTATATGCGATAGTATGTAACGCCGGTGCTGCGGCAGACGCGCTGCAGGTACCCCGGTAGTGGGTGTTATGGTATTATGTGAAGTCTCTCTGGAGCACCTGCTGCCACAAGACGACCGGACGCGGTGACGGCGAATGCGACGACTGGCACCGACACACCATGAGTCCACGTATATTACCGCCCACACCTGTAGTAGTCATGGTTTGTTTGATTTTTTTTTTCCTATTTTCCAGCACGCGAAAAACAAGCCGACGCCAACGGTTTGCCAAAGTGTGTGTGTGTATAGTATTACGCGCGCGCGTGCGCTTCGTACGAGAGACGACTTAGCGCCGTTACGGTGTAATTATATAGGAGGAGGGTAGAAGGGATGGGGGTGGGGGGGTGAGACAAAAATATAGAGTGTGTATGTTACATAAGTATTTTCTGTTAAATCAAAAGGTTAATTTAATGTCACCGCGTAACTCATAAAAATGATGGTCGCGGAATAAGTCGGGAATACGAAAAAAAAACAAAAAAAAACCGGATAGGTACGTTGTTATATATATTATATTATAATATACGAAGACTGGCTGGACGGGCGAGTGATCGAATTCGTTCACGCGATTTTTTTTTTTTTTCCCCCACTCCGTTCCAAAAGTAATTAACCCTGTGGTTAATTGACCGTTCGGTGCTTATATACAGGTATACTTACACCGCGAACTGACTTTTTCCTCGGCCGTTGCGGAACCTCGGGGGTCTTATAACGTCAACGGTTTTAATTAATTATTTCGGATGCACGCGTACAACACCACGCGTATACGTTATTCGAGTTGAAATTGCAAGCTGCCGATTTTTTTTTCCTGCGCCTGCGTGCAGTTAATAATATTTATCTCCGGTACCTTATCGAACGAAATTTTAATCATACCGTGTATGTGTGTACATATTATATTGTTATTAAAGAATTATAGTACTACGAAGTTATCATAAGCGTGCGCAGATCCTCTTGGCAGGGGAGGCAACGGTCTTTGAAATCAAACCTTACATAAAAATCATTGGTACAAATAGTCCAAAATAAATATTTTTGTAGCGCGCCTAAGCCCCCGTTATATTGATTATTTATACCTATAGTATTAACTCGTTGAGGACTCTATTTTAGGGGTCTTGGTTGAATATCCGGAAGGACGTTAAAATCCTCCAAAGGCCTCTGTCTGCTCTAATGCACAAAATTAAGGGTACTAATTTAGGGTTTAATATTTTTAAAAATAATGCATGTCTAACATTTTTTTTTAAAAATATTTTAGCGGAAAATCTCGCAGGCGAGGCAGCTGTCTCTCGTGCTTCCCCCGTGCGCACGCTCATGGTAATTGTTATCTATGACAATTTTAAATTCTCAAACACAAATATCATACGATTATGCACACCAAGTGCCTACCTACACACTACGGGGAGAGGTTGGAGGGTGAATTGTCACTTGTGGCAAACATTTGAGAAGCGACGAATTTTAGAATTTAATTTTTACCACAACAACAATAAACACTATAAATGTCGATACCGCTTTAGGGCGTGTCACTATTTTATTATGTGGGACGAAAAGTTAAAAAAATATTATTACGACACTTGCATTTATATACGGAAATATACTCGTAATTATTTAACTACTGAATGCAACGATTTTGCGGGCAACAAAATGATTTAGAAAATAATACTATAACTGTGGGTCTGTGACTTAAAGGTGTATTGTATACTTTTATGCATTTATAAAGAAAAACAAAATTGTATATCATTTAATGATTCAACATTTATTTAATTTGTCATTTCTTGAATGCCTATACGTATATACTTTATACGTTGTATGTATAAATGGACTATATTATTATATTGATTGTATACATAAATATCTTTTTATCGTTCACGAGAATAATTTGTTTTCGTAGTACGAAGAAAGATAAAAATGAAACAATTTATTACAGTAAAAATAAATATAACAAGGTTTTACATTCACATGTAAGTGACAACGAAATTGCCATGCGCCCTAGTATACACGGCGATGTCGATTCCAATGTACAAAAAGTGTCCGATGAAAACTAATTTTTTTTTTTTTTTTTAAGAGACAAATTGGATTACACATACCTACTGCCTCGAGTTGAGACCGTGAGGAGAGCACCTCGAATAAAAATCGACTGCGCATTTACGGGATCGTTACAATGGTTCGTTTTTTTTTTTTATTATTATTTTTTGAATTCATTAAGTCCAAAACGTATATACGATAAAGAAACGTTTTTTCTATAAATCAATATTATTATTATAGTTCCGCGACATAATGACCAACGTACAGTACGGTTTAAATTGATTTGGTTGTTGAAATAATAACTAACGGGAATCACACTCATGTCGTATAAAAAAATCGTAAAAAAACACGCTCTTTGTTTGTCAAATATTGTGGAATAAATAAATGAACATTCGATCGTACGATCGAACGGTGGTTTATGTAAATATGAGTAGGTACATATACATATGCATATATATATATATATTATAATAATATATTGGATAGAGAACAACGTTGCAGGTATCAAAATCAGAAACAGAAGAGGACTTTCGTCCGTCGAAAACAATAGTTCCAAAAAATATCCGAGCTAATGGAATGTAAATTTGGTTTTTCTTTTTGACGCCTTGGCCATTGTAAAAATGGAATAAAATAAATAATAAAATGTATATGGAATTTTTTCCGGTGAGCTTGGCCGACACCTCCCATCATCGTGGGATTACGCGACGGGAATAACGTACCATATAATCATAACGAAAAAAAATGAAAATATATTTTCCCAGGTCACCCGGTAAAGAACACATTAACGTTGGCTTGTCTCATTTCGATTATACTACAGACGGAAGGATAAGGAAATAATTCGTCACACCCTTTTCAAACCCAAAATGGACTTTTTGACAAAAACAAAAGCACATAATATATAAGACTATAGGGTATATATTATTATTATTGTACTGTATAAGTAAGTACTACGTATATACTTATGATAATGAGAATGATAATTTTTCAACACAAAACGTAATATTCTGGAAACGCGTACTAATTGTTTTGGGTTTTATGTTTAGACGTTTAATTCTTTTCTCTTAGCTATTTTTAAAAATGGCTAGGCTACTTATCTTATAAAGCTAATCCCACGTGTGATTAATCTGATCAAATTTATTAAACCTTCTTATTTTTTTTTCCCCTATCCTAAATTTAATCGAAATAATAATGTTTTGAACGTTATATAGACATTATATAACTATATATAACTACGTGAACACTGGGGATCGTATAAATTCAGTTGTACTAAATGAATAGTGTGTTATTTGTTTGTAAAGTTTACATGGAGAATAACAGACAATTACCAAAATGCGACTAGTATTTTTATTTCCGTCTTCATATATACCAACTCTAAACGGTTTTAGCTAAGTAAACTTAAGTCTATTACATTAGTTTCGTCAAATGTGATTGGATGCACACAACAGCGTTACATTATAATATTATGAAGGTACCTCGTATACATATAATGTTGCTGGTAAAGCATTGAATTTAGGCAGCCTATATAGGATTCCATGACGTTCTACAGAATGTCTAAGTTATATTAGTATTTTAAATTTGTATTGAAAACTTATAGGTGTGTAAAAAAGAGTCAATAATCTCTGGTCTTACAAAAATACCTATATTATTTAAATTCGGTATTCTACAGAACGTTTAGCTATAAACTTCTCATAAATTTCATAGTTTTTCAGGTCAATTTAGACATCACATAATACACAATTAATAATCGTTAAACTTTATACTTGTAATATGTAATAATACATATAACAAAGTTACCTCCACTCGGTTGCTCACCTCAAAAAATGATTGAGGACCACTCCGAGCTGATTTCGAGTATAAAGCTGAGTGAAAAGATCTGCGTCGACTCGGTAACGGTCATTTGAAAAATAATAATAAAAAAAAATATGCTTTGCTAAATCCGAATGTTAAAACGTAGTACAAGAGAATTGTATCGTTGACGGATGTTCGGTACCTGTGTATATAAGTATACTTACTCTTCATTTCGGTAGTTTCATTATCACCGCTTATTATATACACGTATGCAAATAACGTAAGATCGAGCACACTATAGTCTCGAGAGTGTACAGAGATGACACGGTTTTTTTTTTTAATGAATAAAACGCGTCGGTCTGCGCCAGTGTATAATATTATAATAACGTCGCCACTGTAGTCTGTATTCAGTTTTGTAAAGAATATTTATACTTTATAAATAAAACACGTATTCGAACGAACTAGTGAAAGATGCTCAGAATACGTTTTCGAATTATTTTTCAACAAATATATATATTATAATTTATAATAATATTCGGAATAAATATTCAATAAATGTTTGTATAAGTATCCGCATACTTTTTGAAAAGATATACTTTTTTCTTGTTAATTATAGATGAAAAATATTAAATAATCATAATATATTATCATACGTGGGACAATCGTAATTCAACATTATTAAACATCATTAAACATTTGTTTGTCTAGCTGTCTGCATGCCTCGCGCGTAGTAATATATCAATAAAGGCATACCGTATTTCCACGTTTGCGACTCTGGTTGATTTTATGATAAACTTTTATATATACTCAAAGAAGAGTGTTTTCTACTTTTATTATGTTTTGACAGAATGATTTTTTTTATAATTATTCTCATTTCTAAACAAGGTATGCCTCCTCCTTTGTTTTCACCTAACGTAATAACCGTTAATAACTTATTAAGAAACGATTATATGGAAAAAAAAAAACAAAAATCGTCCGGTCAAAGCATAGTAAAGACTGTTTGCCCTAAACATGACCAGACATGCTTTCGTTGCTGAATTTACGCTCGACGCAGACGGGGATAGGCAACAAAATGTCGGTGTTTCGGCCCTCCTTATAATTACACGTACTACCGTTGACAAATACAATTATTTTACTACGTGAAACGATTAAAGCAATGGTGACGATAGCAATACGCCTAAGTGTGCCAACAACTAATTCGCTACTTATCGAAGGCAAGCTCATTATTATTGTCATTATTAACGTTTATTGCTCGCGCCGCCCCAAAAACGCCGTGGTTCTCAGTCTGCTCGGTTCGGCTTCCTGCCGGGAAACGCGACCGGGTATAGTCGCCCACGAAAAAAATGTCCCGACTTAATAATATAAATTTCCGTATTTTATTAGTTTTCCGCCACTCGAGTGTCGGCTGTGTAAATAATTACCATAATAATAATAAATAAATCATAAAATCGATAGCTGCGGTTTCGGTGTATAAAAAAAAACGACCCACTACAATGCGACGCGCCGTGTTATAAACGCGTCGAATTTCTTCGTTTTTTTTTCACTGTGATTTATTTATAAAGGCCGTTTAATCACGGTTTGTCGGTGAGAAATTGTAATGATTTAATTTTTGTTATAATTGCGGAGAAAAACGGACGAGAACCACGGTACTCCGGTGCGCGTTGGTGACGATGTATACGTATATACATGAGTAATCGGCTCCCATCGCATACGCGATGGTCGTATAATAACATTTTTTATGTATACGAACGTGTGTTATCGAGAATTTGTCGTTTTCGAATTTCGTTAGGCAGATGTTAGGGGTAAGGTCAAATAGAACCTATTCTAGTAGAATTGCGCTCGGGTTAAAAAAAAAAGGTAATGGTTGAACTGCTTTTGGGTTAAGATGCTTTTTAAGAAAAATGTTCGAAAATATAAATTATATTTAAAGTTTTTAAAACACTCATTTTTCTCTTCCCACTAACAATTTAATCTCTGGAATGGTTAAAAATTAGTTTCTTTATATATATTTAAAAAAAACATTCATTTTTATCTACGTAAATCAGTTGCGAAAAAAAATGCAGTTTAAAAATAAAAATAAAAAAAGTTATGTTTTAAACATGTTAAAAATATTGGTTCTTTTTTTCAAATATTTAAAAAGTTGTATTTATTTATTTATAGAAAATACATGTATGAGTCCAATATATAACGATTTCCATTTTTAAAATCCCAGGACTTATTAGGTGCCGTAGATAAAGATATCTCGGTATAAGAAAATTATAATTTAATTAAAGTTTTCTTTTGCGGAAGTTATGAGAAGAATGTGAACTATCAAATGAACTTGTTTAATTTTAAACAAATTTGGGTTTATATAATTAAAATAAATTATGTAGATATTTTAATATTATATTAAATATTTAATAAATATTTAGAAATACTGCCTGATCATTTTTATTATTTAATTCCAGTTGATTGATTAATTATACATTTACTTTTCAAAAATAAACAATATAGATATAGTAACAATATAGAAAAATAGTCGTATTAACTACAAAGAAAAATCATAGATTTTTATTTGAACTGTCTGTACTATCGACTGTATACCAGGGTTTCGAGATATCTTTTTTACGTATATTTAAGTCAATATTAATGATGACAGGAAATATCAGCAGTAGTAGTGGTTTTTCACACATCATTTTAAAGTAACAATCAAAAACTGTTACATTAGAATGAAAATAGCAGTAATTGCTACTTACTCTTTTACTCTGCTATCACTATAAGTGTAGTACTAAGGAGCAGTCACTGCTATTTATTAGTAGCAGTGTAGTAACTTTAAAAATCTTTAAAAAAAAGTAAAATCATTAATTACTATTGTGATACGTCACACCAAGCAGCAGTCATGATGTTATCATTTTAACATGGTAGCAGTCACTGCTATTTTCGCTGCTACTTGTTCAGTAGCAGTAGCAACTGTTATTCAATAATATCACGTATTTCGTACAATTATAGACTCGTTGGTTTTAATTGGTTTTTTAGACTCGCTGGTCAGTTCTAAGTCTGTGAGTGGGAAGGAAAATGAACATTTTCAAAACTTTCTTTTTTCGATTTTGTTTATGTACAGTTCGACCATAACCTGTTGTTGACCGGAGTGCAGTTCGTCTAGGTATTTCATTTATGCGAAAAGTGCAATTCGACCATCCCGGTCGGTAGTACACTCGAAGATTAAAACTAGTTTTACTCTTCATGGTCTATAGCACTATAGGTCGGTGGGAATGGGCGGGACTACGTCCACTTCCTATATAATGGTCACTATGCTATACAGGTAAATTCTTGTATAGGTACACTTTGTACGCGCGGGGCACTCCCGGGGATACGTAAGGGAAAGCCCACGGATAGGCAGAAAGGGCTGAAGCTAAAGGAAGCCTAAGGCCGGGCGGTCGCGCTCGCTTTACCTCGGCCGAATCGAAGGGGCCGGACAACCGGACCTGACCGTACGGCGACATGGGCGTGGACGGCGTCAGCGACGACGAGGCGCGGAGTTGGTGTTCGGCGGACGCGGGCGCGTACTGTTGCTGGTGCTGCTGGAACCGACGCTGAAACTGTTGGTGGATAAGCGCGTCCGCGTCCGCCGTGTTCCGGTGCTTGTGCTTGTGCCGCCTGCTGGCCAACGATGCGCCGCCCGCCGCCGCGTACATGTCGTTGCCGGCGGTCTAGTGTACGCCCGATGAAAACGATGGCAGAATGCCGGGAGGTTGCCGCCGTCGCCGACGCCTCTGCCGCCGCGGCCGCCACCACAGCCGTCGCTTTTCACCGCGGGCCCCGGACACTCCGTCACAATCCTGGGAAAAACAACAACGAAAAGTATGATTTTAGTAACACGCGATAACACGTCGACATCGAGTATCGCCGATCCAGAAAATGCTCCGTATCGAAATATTCCGTGTCGCGACAGCAAGTATATATACAAAGTCATATTGGTATACTAAGCGCGTAAACCGTGTATAAGTATTGGAGTATAGGTACCGTGTATACTAAGTACCTATTGCACTACACAATATCAGTGAACGTATTAGATCAAATTTATCAATAAAACACGGTGGCGTGCCCAGGAATTTTCAATGGGACGGTAGGTAGCAAAAAATAATCATGTATGTATCGTTGAAATTTTCTTTTCTACCCAAATTGATTATATAGAAACTTAAAAGTCGAATTCAATGAAAAGCCAATTTTAAATCAATAAATCAAGTTTTTCTTTATAATTTGGCTGAAATATATACATTTCGATTAAACTGCTATAAATAAACACTCATAGTTGTTGTAGTTTTAAGCTAACGAGGAGGGATATAATTCCTAACTCCTCTCCTCTCCTCTGAGCATGCCACTGATAGAACACTCTGACAAATGACTGAATTATATTAACGTTTGTAATAAAAATATTTATCGGAATCCGATTGGTTATCGATTGCCGTAAACTAGTTAATTTAAACGGTCTGTAACAAAAAACGATTATGAAGTCTGATTGAACACGTTTTAAAATGCCATAATCTTTACGGCTTTCGTCGAAATTCGATCTTAAAACGATCATAAAAACAAACTAAAATATTACGTTTAATTTGCTTTTTACCACTAAATATACAATTTATAACCAACCTCGTGTTAAATTGTCAATAATTTCTGTTTGATCAAACAATTGTATCCACGAATTACACTATTTATACAGTAAAACCAATACATCCTTCGCCCCATTCAATGTCTAAAAACAATACTAATATCTATCGGTATAATGGATACCTGATATTAATTTACAGCGATACCAAAGACGGTACTGTTTGTTCTGACCCTACGCCTAAGTTATTTCCTACCTCTGGTTCGCGATAATAGTGAAATTGAAGAAAATCGGATTTCAATCTCTCAATAGATACATAAGGTAAAACAGGGCTTTTGTTTAAAACTTCGGTAATCGAATTATCATATTTTACGCTCTGCGGGATATTTTTTCATCGAGCGTTCCTGTCTGAAATATTATATTGTTTCGGGATATTTGTATATGTGTCACCATCGATTTTATCATGCTCGTTAAATGAACCGAAACGCGCAGACATAGGTGTAACCTCTCCTGTCGTGAACGAATTAAAACAACCAAATTGCGTGGAATCGAACGAATTGATCGTATCGTGCGGATGATAGGTACGAACAAGAGAAAAGGGCGAAACGGAACGTGACGACCGCTAGGACGGAACGGAATAGGGGCACCGGTGAAAAAGAACGTTTCAGAAGCCGCTGACGTGATGGAGTGTAAAGAGATCCACGAAATAATGAGCGCGCAAAATTTGAAGAATGCAAGGAAGAACAGACTGGCGAAAACAAATTATAACTACGAAAGCCAGTCGTTATTATGGTCGTTATTATGGAGAATGAATGACCGCAGCGCTCGGGATAAAATATTTATTACTATATATTATAATGTTTATAAATTACACTAATTAATTAGATTAGTATATTTCGACATTCTGATTTAATAGACAAATAAGTAGATCGAAAAAAAAAAGACGGGCATACTTCGCACGTGAGTGGGCCACTGTTGTTAGGTGAGAAGTTGGAAAGTAGAGGGGAAATTTAATGTATATCTGTACGCAACGATTGATTATTACTAACCAAAACACGATTCCGAACAGAGTTCGGTTAATAGTTTGGTTTCGTGAACAGTATATATGTCAAATTATGGTAAAATAATTAATTATGCATTATATATTTTCTTTAATGATATTTGTTTAATATTGTGTCTGTTTTCCCGGTTTTCGCAGTTTTTACCATTTATTGGGAAAACTCCTGGGAAAATCAAAAAAAAACAACCTACTTAAGTACCGCCCCAGGAAAATTCCTTTTCGGAAAAGGTGCTATACTTGATAGTTCGGAGTAAGATTTCTGGTAGATTTTTCGTACACAGTATAAAAAGAAAAAAAAAATCTTTGTAAAACCAATAGGTACATTCTTCGTCACACACAGAATATAAAAGAAAAACCACTGGTAATATATTGACAATATCGTCTTATCAAACTCTTTATAATGTTTACATTGGTCATCGTAATAAATAATAATACATATTCACCTTGATATAATACGTTTGATAAATTAAAAATAATCAATTTTATCAACGTAAATAATATACGAATACTTTTATCATTAATAAAAATCACTAAATCACTAAATCGATAATATTATTTTGTTAATGAAACCACAGTACATTTACTATTATCGTGTTCGTTATAATTTTATAAGTATTTAATACGTTTTTATAACTAGGGATTAATTACCGGTAACTTAATTACCAGTAACTTAATTACCGGTTGGCTTATGATTACACCACGTAACGCGCCATGTTTTGCAATGGTGAGCACCACTTATAGGGAAAATGTTTTTTTATTTTTTAACTTGAATGGTTAGATATTTGTATCCGTAAATATCTAATTAACTTAATTAGTTTAAGATTTCATTTTATATTAATTTAACTTTTTATAGTTAATTTCATAAACATCCAGTTAAGTTAACGATTTGAAGACGAATGATTATTTTCGAAATTCAACTTTAATTCTTTTAATTATTTCTCAGTACTGCGATGTATGTACGCCAATCTACCGCGATGATTGTATTAAGTTTATTTTTATAATAATGAAAAATTACATATATAACTTATTTTAACTTATATAACTCATAATGTATCAAATTATATTAAAAACTTATACTTTTTTTTTTTTCAAACGGAATTAATAGTTTTAAAATTTGTTCACATTTGAACTTTCAACTGGGTTTTTTTTTTTTTGGATAGTTAACTTAATCGTGTTGATTATTTTCATTGACTTGCTCGCCCATTCATGTTTGTATATAAATAGTTTATAATTCGTAAGACGATATATATTCATTTCGGATGTGCACACAATGTTGCAATAATTATAATTAATTGAAACTATTCGAATATTTGTGTAACTGTTATTCAAATATTCGAACGATCCCTAACCCTAATGGACGTTGGCATTGAAAGATAATTAAAATTTAATAATTTTTAATTAAATAATTTTCTACTTAATCATATAAAATCATGAAACCTTGTCCAAGAAGTTATTTAAAAAAAAAAAAAAAGTATTTTAACTACTATACAAGTTATAAACACAATTACTAAAATACTTTACAATTTACGTGATACATTTGTGGAGATACAAATTTAAGTACAATATACAGTTATTATTTTTATTTTTTTTTTACAAGACCGGGGGTGAAACTTGCCGGGAGAAAATTAAACGCAAGGCCCGTTGGCACGTTTGCACGTGGACAAAGTTGAAGAAGTATTTGCGGATGGCTCTTTTGAAGAATTCGTTTTTCTTCGCATTGTTCGTGTTCACGATATATATTGGAAGGGCGTGGCCGGTTTTCGCCAAAATCATACCTTTCCCTTTTCTGCCGAACGATAAAACTTAGGATGGCGTTAGAAATAATATCGAATGTAATCGTATAATTATAATATTGAATGATAAATGCTAAAACGGAGGCGGGGAGACGCGTTATTTACTTCAGTTTGCCTGGAACGATTCGGAGCTAAGTTTCTTAAATACGTGCACGTAAATCTTCACGTTTTTCTCAATTTTATTATGAAAACCACTTGGAAAATCGAAAAATAACCCACCTAAAGTACCGAGTAGATAAAATTTACTTTCAGAAAAGGTGCTTGATATATCGGAGCAAGATTTCTGACAGAAAAGTTTTTCATTGATAAAAATAAATGAAAAAATAAATAAACATCATTGAATCATCAAAACCAATACATTCCTCATTACGCGGCGAACCTAAATACAAGATGTTAATGATTCAAATATTATCTAATAGTAATGCTTAATAAAACATTTTTCGAGTCTGAATAAAAAAAGGAAATTTTTTAATTTTTTGTATACAATTTTACATTTGTCTCGGGTATTGAAAATAATTGACTTTGATTCGTTAACGGTAACCGACACGTCTATCGGTGTCATATCGTTTTTTAGTAAATGTTCACTGTGTATCTCTTTTCCCTTTCCTTAAAAATGCCCCACGAGCAAATAAACCATACATTTCTCTTAACTTTTAGACATTCCTCAGTTATACCTCTTGTCACCAAAGAGAGTATTTCCTAGGAAATATATTTTGTTCAAAAATCTACCAATTCGATAATTTACTATTTATTTTTTAGTGAACACACAAAATATTACTCTAATAGGTGTCCAGTGTACTTTACTATGTGTCCATTTGGACACGGAAAGTTTCCTAAAAAAATGTCCCGATCCGTGTATACCGAACAGAGCTATAGTACAATTAATATGTTTTCCGAGTTTGTATTTCGAAGATACGTTTCGAAACTTTAAAATTATCATTTACAAGTAATGAACGACTGATTCAAATCAACAGTTCTTTTTTTTTTAAAAAAAAACATTTATTCGGTCTGAGGGAGGAGAGTGTGTGTCAGGACCCGATTCCAATCCTTTGGTCGCGGAATTGGCGCGTTGTGGAAACCGAAAAGGTATGAAGGAACCGGGTAATTCCCGGCGGTAACGACACCGGTGTGAATTCGAGACGGTTGTTTTTCCCTAAACGTTTGTATTTTTTTCGATCACGTCCTCGTGTTTCTTAACGCTCGTATTCGGTATACTGACATATTATTATTATATGCGCTCAGTGCGACTGACAGTGCGCTTCCGAACAATTTGTTTATCTGCGAAATCGTCGATAAACAAAACCCATGCGATACCCATACGCACACTCGAAAACTTAACGTGTTTACCCGTCGCCGCGATTTCACAGCGTATAACGTGAGGACGGCGTTACATTGTTATAGAAATAATTGGACGTCACACATATGTGCTGTTCGGTTCCAATCCACTATAGCTATGTACACTGGAAAAAAATAAAAAATGATGTGTCGGTTATTTTGTTGTTTTTTACACTATCTGCATAAATCGCAGGTGCGGTGCAAACACAGTTACGCGAATCCCTCTAAAATCTCTATGTATGCGCGGTTAACATAAACGGTAATATTATTATTTGAAAAAAAAAAATGAAACAAATATAATATGTTGAATTTTAGATTCTGAGTGGAGCGAGGAATGTATTGGTTTTACAACAATGTTAATTTAATTTTTTTATTCTGCGGACAACTTTTCTACCAACAATTTTGTTCCGATTAACAACGGTAGCGCTTTCTCTAATAGGAATCTTGACTGGTGTAGTACTTTAGGGAAGCCATTTTTTTTTAAATTTTCCCAGGAGTTTTTTCGATTAATGGGAAAAACGGGAAATTGATACAATATCAAACAAATATTATTCAAGAAATTATAGGACGCAAAATATTTACCTATTTTACCATAAAGTGACATATATTGTTGACAAAGCAACACTATTAACCGAACTCCGCTCAGAATCGTTTTTTGTAGCTAATCGTTGCGTACGGATAAATTTTCCCTTCCACCTTCCCAACGTCTCACCTACAACAGTGGCTCCATCCACGTTCGAAGTATGTCCGTATTTTTTTTTTTGTTACCATTGTTATTACATATTGGGTCAAAATACGAGCCACCGAAAATAGAATATTATGTTATTAATGACGTCGTATGTTATTAAACTGTACGAAACGGTTTGAATCCGCTTTTTATTAGTGTTATCGAATTAAAAATCAATGATAACAATATTATAATAGGCGAGCTGTGGGTAACGTACCGTGGTGTCGTGATACATTTAATTATTTTTATGTATTTTCGCCGCGTTTTAGACCGCATTTAATAAACATTCGCCGACCGATAATTCATAATGCATTAACCAAACTACAGTTTACTATTAATTCATATATTATTATCATTTGCGTGGTTTGCGATCAGTGTCGACTTTACAGGGGGGGGGAGAGAGAGAGATATAGAGGACACAATAAATCAATCGGAATTTATTCGAAATGCCGGATAATTCTGTACGTACTTACGCGTTTTAAAGCTATCTGCCTACAGTATATGCGTATTAAATGCGTATTCGAAATTGTGGACAATGTTTTGCCGGATATGCCGAGCGGCGTAATACATAAAATCGCGCGAATTGTTCCGATTTTCTAGAAATTATGTTTTTAAATAATTAAAAAAAATTATAACTTTCGGTTTGACAATACGTTTTAGATTTCTATAAACATAAGTTTCGATAAGTATTATGTCTTAGTCGTGTCCGTCCACGGCAAATTCTCGGTTTCTAACAGTATTTCAAACAATATAAACTATAATTCCCAACCAGATTTTCAATCGATTCAGTAACCTAATTCTATAGCACACCTATAGTAACCCGATGCGTATAAACTCAAATAAATTAAATATCTTAATTTGTTAATAATCGACAGGATAATTTTGAAATTCTAAAATGCATGCTTATTATACTCGCAAGGTGCTGGTTACTTTTTTTTTTTTTAATATTAGCTGATATTAATTCATATTAAATACTCGTATTTAAATTAAAAATCCGGATATATATATCTTTATACATTTTATAGATTCTGAGCAGAGCAAAGAATGAATTAGTTTTACAATGTTGTTTTTTTTTTTTTTTATTTGTGAACAACTTTTCTACCAGAAATTTTGTTCCGATAATAGCACTTTTTCTGAAAGGAAATCTATACATAAGTTTCGATACTTTATAATATCTACGTTGTTTCGTCCGTTATGTTACCGGTAAAAATAACTAAATAAGTACTAAATAATATACGCAAGCAAATACCAAATTATTTTAAAATCGTTTATGGGTTTATAGCAGTTGATTGTTTGAAATATCCCCTTTGAAAACCAGGAGTCTAGAACACTCAAAGAGCTTAGCGAGCTTTCTTAACTTGTTTTATTCAAAACTATATTTTTTTAGCCGTAATAAAGTTATTGACATCCGCAGGCGCTATAAAGAACATGTCAAAGTGTCAAATTTTCTCTGCATTTTAATTGCACAAAGTTTGAAACTGTATCCCTGTATGTTTAATAATAATAAATTATTAACATAATGTCGTATACCTTTATTAATATACATTATATTCCTTAGTAATAATAATAGTAATTTATGTATGAATAAAACACACCATATTTTCTTACGTCAAAAACATTCTATACGACAATCATTTACATCGAGCTGTATACATAATAATATCGATTCGTCTTGTCTTGGAAATATAATACCTACTGTTAATAGAATTAAATAAATTTCCAAAGTAAATGCTAAATACGCCAAAAAACGAGCGAGTATACGTCCACGATATAATTCGAATAAAATAAAACGATTTGTATGTAAACGTTCTGCCGACGAGTAAAAATAAATATATTTTCTATTAACATCGCATTGGAAAGAGTACCTATTGGTAAAAATATACAGTGTTCGTACTATATATTGATTGACTTATTGTTCGAACGAAAAACGCGCGTTCATAGTAAGCATATTTTAATACAATTTAAATGGCATATTTAATGAATGTCTGTACAGAATAATAATTTTAAATAGATTTTAGTTGTTGAAAAAAAAAAATTAATTAAAATTAAAGAGTTAAATCAAAATGAAATAAAAAGCTTTGTGGCGGGGCGTCGCACAAGAAAATCAAAATACCAAAACCGAAACCTCCGAAAGACATTATGTATACATAGTCATTAAATGAACCGGAATCTGGTAGTTTTTTTGTTACCACGGTACGAAATAAAGAATATTACCCGAGGACGCGATACGCGTGATTACCGTTTCGGTCCAATTAACGGGCGACTTGGCGAAATTACGTAAATTATTATAATTGAAATCTTGGCGTTTAGGTTGAAATCGGAGTATTTATTCACAAAATATAAAGAGAATGAAATATTTTCGAGAGAACCGCGTTGGTTTTTTTTCTAAAATATTGTCAAACAAAAGGATTAAGGCCACGTGTAGTTTGTGCGCTTCGATAAAATACCCCTAGTTGTTTGATTTCGTAATATTTGTTGGTAAAAAAGGAACGCGATGTCCTCCGAAATCATTTTTATCTTGTCATTCGTGTTTAAATTCTAATACAAACCTACAAACGTTACAGTTTTAATTTTAAGCTACGCAATTTTATAGTCGGACTTAGACATTAAACGCTTACAGGTATCACTTCCTTTGTAATACAGGTACTGTGTTGGGCAACTTCGCCGCATTTACGTTGTTTTTACTGCGATCGGTCGGCTGGACAAAACCCACCGGGCCACGCCCAAAAACCGACGACAGTAAAACGGTTAACTATATAACTGATAACGATAAAACGGTCATCGCGGATCGCACACTGTCGAAACACGAGATTTACAAAAACTGTGTCGTTTATTCCACGATCGTAGTTTTAAAAATGACCTTCGTCATTAAACGAGAGTTTCTTTACCCCCGGTATACGGTAATGAAACTCTTTTTCTATGCACTAGTTGCCCCGCCTGACGTCGCCAAAAGAAATACAATCCATCAATGAACTAAATAACCAGTTCCTATGGTAACTGTTCTGTTCGTTGTTCTCACGACAACTACCGCTACCACTATAATTACACGGACTATCTTATTATTTATTTATGTTTTTTTTTTTATTCCATCCGTATCACCAAGCAACCCGTAAATCAACAAAAAACAATTAGATTTTCGTACCGAAAATACGCGTTACCCCGTACAAGCCTCCAATTAAGGATTGGATTCGGGTGTATAATGATTAACCTATATTATGTTGTTTCTAATCTAGAAATACATCTATGCGAAGGTTCAACTCGATCCATTCAGTATATTTTCGTACGATCCCAGAAATCGTAGTGGTCGTCTACGCGTGCCGGTGCTAAATGCAGCTGATAATATTATAATATGAATTTACTACATTTTAATGTTATCAAATAGTGAACACTATAGTAGGCACGTCATTATTTAACGATATTTATGACTATATGATTTTGTGTTTTACCCTTTTGTTACGCTAATAATGCTCGAAAATATGCAGAAATGTAATAAACTACTAAACATTTGATGAGAAATGTCTGAATTACCGATTTGTGTCTTCCCGTGACTCTTTACTGGTCCACACCATATCATAGTTCACCATTGTTTCCCGATAATTTTTTTTTTTAAAAGGGTAAGTAGGTACCTACTTTTTTGCCCGTGACAACCAAATTAACCGTTTCCCAAAACACTATGTTAGTCATCCTTTAAGGGTCGAATTTTGAAAATCCCGCTTCGAAGTACATCCGCCCATGTCCACGTCAGTTTGTTTTTTTAATGTAAATTTTCGGACCTCTGTGTGCGATAGATTCGTCTGTGCATCGTACGTAGGCGACCAGACAGACATTTAGTTTTATTAGAATTGAAGATGGTCACAACAATATTAGTAACTGTGGACGACGTACTGTACATGTAATGGTTGGGTACCGTGACTCTAAATCTAAATCCTCTAAATATTTCATACTACACTATCGCATATACAATATACGTATAATTTTAAATTGTAGTTCTCCAGGGGTATGCATTTAAAACGAATACGTTTTCGGATATAAAATGCAATCTAATCACTCCCGTAAATTTCAATTATATATATGTTAAATTTACTCAAAGTATTGTCTTAAAAAAAAAAAAAAAAAAATTGTTCAGACATTTTAAGAAACAAGCAGCTCTAAAATGTTACATTACCGTTACTTTTTGTTACTCTCATTTTTAGGAGTGAAACGACTACCTACTTTTGATTTTCAAGTTGCAACTCATAATATTAAAAATGCCATAGCTACTTATGATGGATGATATGGATGGAGTATTTAGCTTTAATAAATGTTGCTGCTAACAATTTTTATTTCCGTCAACCCGTTGGCAAGATATTCCGAATTCGCTATAGGTTTTGACGGAGGCGAATAAAAATATTCCGAAAAAAAATATAAATATTTTAAATAATATACTGTGTTATTATACAAAAGAAAAACTATAATATTTTTGTTCATCAGTATCATGACTGAAAAAACTTTGTTTAAAATCGCCCCGTCATAACAAAGTAAACTTGTTGATCAATCAAAATCTATTTTCGAAATTAAAATCGGCACATCTTGAACAAATCTTAATCGCGATCCTTAAATTTTCGTCTGGATTTTCGGTCTGAACAATCGTACCCGTCCGTAAAACCCGCCGTGCCCACTTAAAAACGGTCTGGCAGTTTGTTTGTGGAAAAGTATTAAAACTTAAATGCATATTTTTCAAATGTTATAGAATCAGAGAAATTTCAAACACCGACTATAAGTTAACAGGCCCGTATAGCGAACGTTCCTCGACGGTACAACTAGGGCGGATCCGGGGAAGGAGGCACTGGCAGGTAGTATCACCTCCGTTACCAGAAAAAAAAAAAATAAAGCACTTTATTTACTATGATTATAGCCGTATAATATTATCAAAGCTACAAACATTATATAATTAACATTGTCGGTTGCTCGGAACATGAAATTCAGTTGGATTCTAATTCGAAATGTTGGCCGTTTTCTGTTTTTCTTTTTTTCTGTATAAAGCGCGTTTTTTAGCGTTAGAATCGAATATTATTATCTAAGCGCGTCTTTTATTGTTGTCAGCGGTGTCGAAAATCGTTTTTTTTTTCTTTTCAATTCGCGTGCGAATTTACACCGATAGCGCAATCGGAAAGTGCACACTCGCTTTTCACGTTGATAACGACGGACAAATCGGCCGAGGAAAAAACGGGAGAAAAAAAAGGATATAGAAAAATTACAACCTGTCAGTTCCCCTTCCACCCTCCTCCGATCGCAAACGGATTCCGTATCCACCCACGCCGCGTCGTTGTCCGCGAGTATTTTATTTTTTCTCAACGTATAAAAATCACTCACTTGATCCGTGACATGGCGACGACTATCGGCGCGGACGTCTTTCACGCGTCCTTCCCCGAACGCGCGCGTAATACGCCCGGTGCATGAGATGATATACTATTATATTGCCGTCGTGCACGTTCGGGAACGATTTTCGTTTTTATTTTTTCCGCCGGAACGGTTTTTTCCGTCGGCAACGGGACCGCGCGCGATTGGCCCCGTACACAACGGAAGAAACCGTGGCGACGGCGGCGGTGACGGCGAAGGCGGTGGCGGCGGCGGTGTCGTTGCGCTGTAAAAAAACATTGCGTGTCCTGTGTGTAACGCGCGAAAAGAAAAACACGTTGGCGAACCGTTGGCGCGACGTGATTTTCGCGTAAAGCTCTCGCGGGGAGTGCGGCGAAACGGCAACAGCGGCGGCGACGGCGTCGCCGCCGCTGTATTTCCGTTGCGTCGCGTAGATCGTACGCGCGCGCCTACGGCAAACAGCGCGGGTAATTGTTAATAATAGTATTGGTGTAGTCCGTCGTCGGACGACATACCGCCGGTCTGCGGGGCGCGCGGCTCGGCAAAGCCCGCACCGGTGCCGCGGACGACGGACGACGGGCGACGGACAGCGGTGATTGATAATAATATTACCCCGCCGTCGTGTGTATCGCGACAGCGAACGAATAATTTTTTCCGCGGAGAACCGGTGGAGAACGGCCGCTGCTGCCGGCAACAGGTAGTCTCCGGCGCGCCGTCCGCGGAGCGCGCAACAGTTTATTATTACAACCGTTATTACCGCTATGCGTACGACGCGTACGCGCGAATACGGAATAACCGTCCCGAGCGTGTGTGCGTGTGTGTGGGCGCGCGCGCGCGTGTGTGTGTGTACGCGTGTGTCCGGGGTGGTGCGCCGCCGGGTATCCGTTCGCGCGGACGGAACTTCAATACGGGTGCCGCGGCCGCGTGAACCGAACGACTGCCGGCCGTCGAAAGGGGTCTCCGTCCGCCGCCGTCGCCGTCGCGTGTCGTCGGTAAATTGCCGTAGACGCCGCCGCCGCCGCCGCCGCCGCCGAGGTGTGGTGATCCGGCGCGAGCACGCGCCCTGCGGCCGTCCCCGCGTGTTTTATACGGCGACGCCGAAGACGACGGTACGCGTACATACGTATTGTACGCGTGTATGTTCGCAATGCCCGATCGTTTCGGCGGCACACACTGCCGCAATAATTGTTAATGTCGTCGCGATCGCGGGCGGACCGCGCGATGATCTCCGCAAGCGTCGTCGTTCGGGGCGGAGGGGCAAGGTGTGCATTTAATTTACGCCCCCCCCAACACACACACACACACACACACACACACACACTCTTATCGCCGTCGGGCCGTGCGCGGGCCAGTTTCGGGCCGCAAGCCCGCAGACACGAAACGAAAATCCAACCGCGATCCGCGCGGCTCACGGTAATGCGTAAATTAATTATAGCTGGCTATCTGTATCCCACCATTTCCAATTTGTGTATATCAGAAACGAACCGTATAATTGTATAATCGTTATTCGTTGTTGTGTGTTAACAGGGCGAGTGTTTGTCGAGCGGTATAAGTGACATTCTATCGATTTCGAGAAAACCAACATTGGAACAATCGAACTCGTATCTCTTTCCGCGTAATCCAGAATGGTTAGAGGTCAGAGGTTCTTAACATACTTGGTGAAATCTTTTAAGTAAAACGCGGCATTTCTGTGTGCGATGCGGTAAGTTTAAAATCACGTATAAAGACTATATTTGTATTGAGATGACAATCTGACTGTGAGGAATAAGTAAGCGAGCGCTTTTTTTTTTCAGTTTTAGTGTGGGCCGGTCAAAACGTTTGCCTCCCCCCCCCTCCCATCTCAAAAGCTTAAATGACGCCACTGAATAAAACCCAAACCGTCACCGGCGGTATGGGTCGGCCCGGATTAAGGTACGGGCAAGGTATACGGCGGGCAAAACTCGGAAAGGCGAAATTCGGAAAAATCGTGAAATCCGCGGGAAAGCCGAAATTCGGAATTCGTAATATACACTGTGGCGTCACGGGCGTTATCTGCTGTTGAGTCGGTTACTTCCGCCGGTTTCGAGCATTACGATTGCTTACATAGTGTATATTATAAATTCCGAGTTTTGTCTTTCCAAATGTTTGCCGTTCCGGATTCCGCTGCGTTTCCCCCTAGGCAATGACATTTTTTTCTTTTTTTTCTAAGTATATCTTATACACCATAGCAATCCGAAATTAAATCTATTCAAACGTCAAGAGAAGAAAGACCGGGACGCGAACGAAAACGATACTAACGACAAACGCGTTAAATTGTCCGCAGTATTTTAATAATAATAACTATACTTTTATTGAGAAAATCTCGTTATTTTCGTGTCACGGCTCGTATACTCGTCCATTAAGACGCGAATCAGCTGATATCGCTGTGGGGCATAGACGAACACAAACAATATTGTGCGTATAATGTTTTCCCGGGCCCAGATAACCGTGTCCCGTTCCCCGCCCGGAATGGCACCACACGATTATTTGGTTTTGTAAAAAATACAGGGGTTATTGAACACATAAAAAAAAAATAAATAAATAATAATAATAAAAAGTCAGTATATTCTAGTCGAATTTAATGGTTGTCGAGTTTGTGATAAAAAGATCGATTCGCTAAACGTTTAACGTCTGTCTGCGCAAGGCGAATAATGTCTTATATTTGCGGCACGGTTACGACCGGAGATTGTGAGTACTTAAAGCTCCTAGTTTTTACAATAGCGTTCCCAGAATGTTCATGACGTTTAAACTTTGAAATTTTAACTTTCTAACCTAACCTCTTCTCTCCCACAATAATTTTAAAGTCCCACCTCGATCCACTCGATTGTCCACGCACCATTTCATAATCCCCATTCATCTACTAATTTCCTTTAAAACTTCCCCGGTAACCGTCCAATGCGAACCGCTAACAGTAACCCCTATTTTTTTATTTAAGTTATTATCAATGTTAACTAGCCATGAGAGAACAATTTTCAATGTAAATTTGGCTTGTCCCGTATTAAATAAATAAATAATTATCCGTTGATAAAACTATGTCCTGACTGACTGACAGATTCACCGTCGCACAGCCCAAACCGCCGGACGGATCGGATTGAAATTTAGCGTATAGACAGTTATTATTGTGACGTAGGCATCCGGCGAAAAAGGATTTTTGAAAAATCCACCCCGAAGCGGGTAAAATATGAGTTTTTAGGTATTTTCAATGTGAACGTCTATATAATTGTTTATTTTCGTTTATTACCTCGGTGATACGGATAATTTGGTTGTCGTGGACAAGAAAACTATTGTTACTATTTATGTACACTATTATTGTCTATAGCAATGGCAAAGCCAGTGGCGTAAACACCGAGTAGGCAAGATGGACAAACGTCATGGGCCCACAACAGATGAAGGCCCGAGCAGTGGCCTAGACTTGGGTATTATTGAACAGGTGAGAGTCTTTTTTGTTTTGCTCTCCGATCGGGCCTTTAATACAATATTTTGCCACGGGTATATGAGATGTTCTAGCGTATACGTACATTATACAGGCAATACGAAATATCCTACGGACGAGTGTACGCCGCCGCGGGGGATATTTCGTGGACGTTTAAAAATCGAATTCTAGTGAAGTCAAGAGAAAAATAAAATAAAACGAAAATCGCCAATTCGCCCCCGTTCGTACGACGAGTTCGTCCCGTGTGTGTGTGTTATGAAGAAATTCGTTTAATTATACCGGTATATCAACACATTCGTTGACCTGTAGTTGGTACAAAATATCGTTATCCTCTCTATAGACCATACTTATTTGTTATCATACCTTCGATAAAATAATCACTTTGAATCTTCCATCTTTATATTCTTCGCAATTCAAAAATGTGAACGCGGAGAAAAAATAATGCCAATCATAATGTTATGTTATGACAATTCGATAAGATAATGATCGCGATGGGAACATTGAGAAAGGAGGGGATTATATATAGGGGTATAAAATATTTGACCGGTGTCGCGAGACTGGCCAGAAAAACTTTAACAAACATGTTGAACCGGTATCGCCGACGAATCACTTTATTTTGTACCGGTATTATTTTTATGGGGAAATTCATGGCCGTAGTGAATTTGCACAGAAATTGACGCTAAATGTATAGACCATTGTAATTTGACCGATATTTTTTAATTGCGTTTGTAATTCGCTCCAAGATAAAGCTATGCAATTTGTACCATCTCCTCGGGTAGTATGAAATAGGAATTGTAATTTGTGCCAAAATTCAAATCGATTATTCTTTCGACAGTGTTTACGTACAAGTTTCGATATTGGATTATAATACATCGAAATACGAGAAGCCAAAGACACGGAATATTCCGTTTCGATTTTGAATGGTTATTTAATTTACCTATTCACCTACGTCGTTTTCTGGTACGTCAGTATCGACTTGAAAGCTACCTTATAACAATAATATATTACTGTTATATAGTATTATAATAATTGTGTTATTTTAGACTAAAATTTAATTTAGTATTTTTGTGCTACAAATGAAAAGACGGAAAGACATGGATTAGTATTTGGTCCAAACAATAAATTATGCGATTACGACGGTTAATCGAACGTCAAATTTTGAAACGATTATCAGATTAGGTGGCGGGCAATCAGGAATCCCGGAAATAATATATATATACGTGTGTATTTTTTATCGTATCAAGTGAGAAAACGAAATAATATGAAATTATACGATAATTCGAAAATGCCAATCGAATAACGTAACAATAACGTTTTATAAAACGAGCGCAATAGCTTGCCTTAAAGAAAACAATGGTTTTTGGACTTTTAAAAACAACAGTGTCGGTCGGCCAAAACTGTCTGTTATCCGGCCGTGGGTCGGCCGAATACCAGGCGCTTGACAATCGGACACCACACAGACACTCGTTTCCGCGCAAACTATAAAAAAAAAACGCCATTTTCGGGCCGCCCGTAGTGGCGCAAATTACCCGTCGTCTTTGTTTCGGTACGAATTACACACCCCCAAATCTGTACCGGCGTAACCAAACGGATTTCCGGTACGTTTCGCGGCGAGCGGACCGTGTGACGGGGACGACGGCACTCGCGTCGAGGAGGAGCCGGCGGCGAATTGTCCGACCCCCCGCCCCCCGTCCGGAACGGCCGGCGGGAGCGTCTCCGCGGTACTGCCGCGCGTACGCATTTCGCCGTCCGGGCGCGGTCGGCTTCGCGGTAGCCGCCGCCGCCGCCGCCGCCGCGTCGAAACAACGCAAACGATTGTTATTATCGCCGCGAACGGCCGGCGAAAATCGGATACCCGTTGGCCGCGTACAGACGACACCGTATAAATTGTAATGTCGTACGCGCGCGATAATCACAACGGCGTGTTAATTTGCGCCGCATAGTGATTGTTAGAGAGCCCGTGTCGCGCGTATCGCGTACGCCGACGTACGGCCGTGTTGTCGTCTCGACACCGTGCAGGCGGCGGCGCGTTTGCCGGTGGCGGGTCTGAAGGCGACTCCGCGCCCGCGGGTTTTCGCACGCGCAATACACGCGCGGTCG